CAATTGTATTTCAATTAATATTCTCTAAAAAAAACCATAGCTGATATTTAACTCACATTTGTTCAATACGCCACGTGTTTGTCCAAGTTTTCTAGTTAATAATTATATGTAATATAGTCCTTCTTCATTTTCTTCTTATGTTTTAGCCTATAATTCAGCTAAATTTTTAAATAACTTTGGAAGCAAATTAATAGCAGCTATATTGCCGTTCCCTTTACATTTCTTTGAAGGCATACTTTACTGTCCTTTTAGCTTATTTGTGCCATGCCCACGAGTTCCGAAAGATTTCGAATATGCTGGTTGTTCTTTCTAAATTATGTTTAATACAATTTGCCATCCGTTTGTGGAATTTTATCGTGTGTTGGATTCACATTGATCACGCATTGGTTTCAATTGTCTGTCAGTAAGCTTACTGTATCCACATTGTTCTGTTTTGAGAATTGAGCAGCACGACAGCAGTGTCCAATAAATTTACCACTTTCAAGTTTCACGTGTCACATATCAGCATTATGCTTCAAAAAGATGACACATAATACGTCATCAATAGACCTTCCAGTCCGCGAACAGAACAGTGGGACGTTAAATCCCATTTAATTTCATTTCAATAGGCCTACTTTTAAACCTATCAACATGGCTGAACAATGTCATTGTTTTTAGTAAATTGGTCAAAACTGTTATTTTAGTATTTGATGTAGAAATAGGTGGACTATTTCCTTAAAATAATCCGGAAGCTACGGTGACTAGGTGAGTAAGGCGCCGGCTCAATAAGCAGGAGGTTCCAGGTTCGATCTGGGTGTAGCTCAAGTTTCTAATAAATTTTCAGTCTGATTTCCCCACGTCAGTGGTGTAGGGCGGGGGCCTGGCCAGGAGAAGCGTCTGGTCGTTCAGATGGGACGAAAGACCGAGGTGCCGTGTACATATTGGATGCTAAACGGGGTGACATAACTTGTTTAAGGAATTTTCATTCTTCAGTTGTGCAAGACTAGGATAAAGGTTTTGTAGAGTCTTTCACTCGATATCCACTATTTTTATTCACCAAAATGCGGGATCCCCCCCCCCCTTAAAACTCCATTTCATTTCATTTAAAGATGCGTTATCTAAGAGATAAATCTGCATTTTGCATGTGTTATATAAATTATTATTTAGACATTTATTAACATAAAAAGCCCATAATCAACTCTCTGGACCATTGGATGGCAGAGATTTAAATGGATTAGAACGCCCGCTAGATTGCTACGATGATAAACAATCTATGCTACACCCATAACCCTGCTCAGAATAAAGTAATTTGAATGAATTTTCAATAATATATACATTTATCATTATCTATTTTTGAACTATTATAGCAAGAACGGCCATTTCTTTATCTAAATCTTACATAATGCATCTTCAAAAGAAACCATATTTTCTATAATATGTGAACTGTTAGATAATATGTTACGTGTACCTTACATTTACAATCAATAAATCAATAACAACAATTAATTAATCAAATACCGCAACTGCTATATTTTGAAATTTGATCAAGTTAATTCAATCTTCGGTTGACTCTGCCTTATAAGGTTACAGAGCTTCTTGTAGCATAACTTTATAAGAATCGACCAAAGAAGGATAACAAAACATGTCTGCTTTTACTGTACAAAATCACCGATCGACATGACGTTGGCTAAATTGCTTTTGTCTACGAAAATTGCACCATATTAGCTTTTTCTCAATTTCTTTAGCCTGTGGGGTGAACTCTTCATTTCTAAATTTGTACTTGACATGCAAGAAACACTTCTTGTTCTTTGATGTCCAGTGACTGTTGAGTTCTCGAGGTGAATTTGCCTGCAGATATGTTTAGATTTTATAAAAAAAACGTTTTCGATTCGACGGTTGTACCTGGCAAGGGGTATGGTCGCCCGTCCAACCTCGAATGTTTTCCCCGAGTCCTCGGGTTTCCTCCCACTGCTGAAAACCCCTATGCGCAAGCGAATTATTGAAATAAAATCGAACCAGGTATTAGTCTCGAAATGACATAGTTTGTGTCGAGTGGACGTTAAACTGTCTCTCTCTCTCAATTAGCCCAGGTTAGGTGCAGAAGAGTAGGACGTTAAACCCCATTTCATTTCATTTATCTCTCTCTCTCTCTCTCTCTCTCTCTCTCTCTCTCTCTCTCTCAGTATTCTATACATTATTGAAAATAATTATCTTGATGAAAATTAATTGTTACCGTTGTAAGGGATCAGTCTTGTGCTAGGGCATCATTGAGCATAAATCATGGACTGTAAATTATTGAAGACTAGACACTGTACTAGTACTTTATAAATTTATCCCGATGTGTATTAAGCCCTTATAACTATACTCGGGCATCAATCTGATTAAAACACAGATCCTATTTCGTTTCGTTTTTATAGTTCAAAATTTCGTTTTACTTGTCTTTACTACATGTAGTGTGCGCACTCGGCAAACCTCGGCAGATTCCGGTACCTTACATCTAGCCTCGGCTGTATGACAGTAAGTGATATGTACCTACGCCTATACATTTGCGATGCGGCACCGGTTTACTTATAAGGGAAACTTGCCCGCGTTTCGAAAGAAGTTCTCAAAATTGCGTCGTTCGAAGAGTGTGTGAATTTTCAGTGCAAATTTGTCCTTGTCTAAAGAAAATCGGATAAACTTGAAAGAAAAACAGCTTCAAACTTTGAAAATTTTGTAAGATAAAACATTCTTCAAATACGTCGTCATCAATGACGTCATTGGTCGTCATGGACAACGCCATTGTAATCCGGGAACTTGAAAGTAGTTCTAATGGCGGACTTTGTCATACAGCCGAGATTAGATGTAGGGTACTGGAATCTGTTGAGGTTTGCCGAGTGGTAGTGTGCGCCATCGAAAGTATAAAAAACGAAACGAAATATAGATCTGTATTTTAATTAGATTGCTAGGGCATATTCCCTTTCCTTTATTAAACTACATTTTCCTCGATATACTTTATAGAAAAGATCTGTCAAGCAAAGATATTAAATGGGATTGGATACCCACTAAACGCAAATATACTGACGTTCAATAGAGGAACTATATCAGTATGTTGAATCCTTGAATCCTCTTGTCTGTGGAGTAGGACGGGGGGTGGGGGGTGCACCATGGTAGCATCTAGTCGTTCGGATGGAACCAAAAACCATTTCCATATACACACTCTTGGTTACGGCTTGACGTATACCCGTCTAGGTTATCCCGGTATTTGCAAAAAAGTAGTACGTTAAACCCCATTTCATTCATAATTTAGAACATGGATATTCAGGCCCGCAACTAGCGGGGGGGGGGGGGCAGCTGCCTCTCCTGGAAACAATCGGCGCACGCAATGGTGCCTTTGTCCATTGGGAAAAGAAACGGATCCCCAATGGGCACCTTTGGCAACTCAAAGCCAAGGACTGCAGCATACTCCTGATATTTCGCCTAAATACAACCAATGTATTCGACGACTCAGAGTCTGTTCCAGTTCCGAGTTTTTTTGATGTCTTATAGTCTTGGGTTTTGTTTCATTTTAGATGTCAGTAATTTCAGGTACAATGGTAAATGTTATTTGTTCTCACGCAATGTCTACCAGTGAGACGATACCAGTGGACCAAGAGAAAACCCACATCTTAACCTATTTTCGACTAAATGGCGAATATTCACGACTGCATTGCATTAGACCGGGAGAGAGAGAGAGAGAAATGGAGTTTAACGTCCACTCGACACAAACTAGGTCATTTCGGGACTAACATATGGTTTAATTTTATTTCAATAATTCGAATAATTCGCTTGCGCGTAGGGGTCTTTAGCAGTGGGAGGAAAGCGGAGGACCCGGAGAAAACCCACGAGGTTGGACAGGCGACCCTACTCCTTGCCACGTACAACCGGGGATTCGAAACCACGCCAGTTGACTCAATGACAGACTTTATGATAAAGCGTGCACACGCTAACCATTCAGCCATCCAACCCCCCGCATTAGACCGGAGATAATAAGTACCACACAGGTACAAAATACTACACAAGGTATACACAATTTGACGACTTTAGTATAAATAATGTCAAATGCAGAGATTGCATATTTTCCATGAAATTTGTGCTATTCCAATAAAGGCAAATATGTAGACGACCACCTCCCCAGCAAGCATTCAGATTATCATGGGAAATATGGATAGCTGCATATATTTTACCGAGATGCAATGAAAATGCAACATTCTTTGATTGGAAGTACTGGCATATCATAATTCAGCTAAAATGTGAAATTTGGAACGATTATCGTGGGCTGAACATTTGCCGACACAAGACAATCGACAACAAACCACGGAGGCCATAAGAACTTTACAATGTAACGTAGGGATGTTAATTTGGTCCATCTCAAGGAGCCCCACGTGCAGTGTGCTTTAAGGGAAATTTTGCCCGACAGTGGTGCAACGGCCTACTCTTACTCGAATTCCAACTGTCAGTGGTTCTTTTACATACACAGGGGACCTCGGTCTTTCGTCCCGTCCAAACGACTATACGATGTCCCTTGTCAGTCCCTCCGTCCTACACCACTGAAGAGCGGTAACTACGCCGGAAAATGAACTTTCTCGGCAACTGTCGGGATCTGCAGGTTAGCGAACCAAAGAGCCATCGTGGCTGCCTAATACACGCGAAGACGGAGATAAGTTTCTTGATAGCCGCATGCTGCTTCCAGTGCCTTTGGTGCTCACGCTCTTGCATTAACGCATGGCGCGAACTGTAGAAGTTCTTTTTATTCTAGCTTTTTAAAAACCCTATTTTATAACCGAAATATCCAACATAAAATCGTGATTCTCAACATTCCCATTCTGTCGAATTCAACTGATCCGTAGTGGGTTTACGCGACCGTGAAAAAGTCATTCCCACGTGTTGTCGTCATGGATGTTTCATTCAGAATAGAAGGATTATAAGTGTGTCCCTTGAACCAAATTTACAATCATCCATTTATAAAAGTGGCGTGTATATAAGAAATACACAAACAAATGTTTAGACTTGAACAGTTTTATTGGTACAAAACATACATCATGCTACATTCCTGAATCCTGATATCTATCAATATAATGCTGATATATTTAAAGCTTACGAAAAACGAAAGACAAGAAGAAAAGCTAAATATACTGCCAGTAACATTCTTGTATGATAAAAGATGTACAATAACTGATCAAAACAAAACAAAAATCAAACCATCTCAGCAGAATGTGGTGGTTACTTTGATAAAGTGGAAGCATGTATCACCTGTTTTATATAGTGCCAAAAGATAACATAGATTTGGTCAAGATGAACATATCTCTAGAAAAATAGAGATGACTCATGCCTAAAGAATACTTTTCGTTTTTGTGAGAGTTTCAATTTCTGATTTTATAATTTTCATATCATGTATTCTGGATCAGTGTTATATTAAATCAGTGAATCATACTGAATTAACTGCTCAAATTTTTTCAATTTGGAAAAGGTCAGTTTATTAAACCCACACCTTTTTTTTTGTTCAAACCAAATCTATGTTAATGTATACATTTTAAACCAAATCTATGTTAATGTATACACTTTTTTATTCTAACATTGCTTCAAAATTTCTTTTCTTCTAGACTTTCAGATTTTTAAATTGCTGGTTAATTTTACGGGGTATATATAATAAAATACATTCATTGAATATGTGCAAATTTTTAAATTTTAAATTGCTGCTTTATATTTCCCGGTATATATAAAGAAATATAATCATTGAATATGTGCATTTTATGTTGTAGAAGTAATTCAAAATTCGCATATATGCTGCCATTATAAACATTTTCTTTTGTTTATCACAAAAAGCCACCAGACAGTATTTAATCTTTTCTTTATTAATACTCTCTTCCTGTATTTTTCTTGAAATGAATCAGGACATTAGCTTATCAATACAGACTATAATACACAGCTTAATGGCTTTGAAATAAACCAGTCCTATAATAATTCAAATTAGCCTAATAATTTTCCATCTCCGCCATATTTTACCATTCAAGTTGAAATTTTAGACTTTTTATCTCAACATATTAATAGCTCCACTTTCCTTTTGAGTCAACAATCTTAAATCTTATGTCTAAGATAATTTCTCATTTTTTCAATACTTTCATGTAATTATAATATCAAGTACCATAAATAACCAAGAGTACGAGCATGCAGTCACGATTAAATACTCCGATGATCCAGGTGTGTAAATCATATTTAATAAATATATTTCAGAAACCGATTCCAGTACGCACAATAAATTTAACTAGAAATATGCAGTGCCTCGGACCCCCCCCCTCCCATTATCAAATCCTATACATTTCCAGTCATGTTCCATTTATTTGGTTGAATATGGTATGCATTTAATAAATATATTTCAGAAACTGAATCAAGAAAGCACAATAAATTTAACAAGGAATATGCAGCACCTCGGAGCAACCCCGCCCCACAATCCCATACATTTCGCGTCATGTTGCATTTATTTGGTTGAATATGGTATGTATGTACTCATATCATATAACAATATTATCTTCTAGTTTTATACACAAAATATCAGCCCCAAATAAAAGCTAATAAATTCTCTATAAAATAAATATCACAGTTTACTTATAATAAAAAAGTCATATATTCAGACAATAGTTCTTTGTACAATATGTAAAAAATATATAGGTAAAACACCTCAAACAAAACAACCAGCAGTAAGTGTATTATTACAATCAAATCTGAAGTCAATTTCATGAAAGCTACCATAGTTCTAATACTGCTGAAACGCCTTTTCCAAGATTCATAAAAGAAAACAAAAACATTGTGAGCATAACAACAATGTGGAGTTTAGAGTTATTCCCCTATCAAAATTGACATTATGATATTCTAAATAAATTTTTTTTTGCTAAATATCAGTTCTATCATAATCATAATAAACTGTCTTTTATTCTATAATTTTCTATGCGAAAAAAAAAGCTAATAAAGTAAGCTTAAATTAAATACTTCTCCAATGAGTTGTTAGCATGTGAAAACAATTATATAATGCTATTTTCATGACTGCATGTAGTATAGTATCTGAATATAAATCAGTGAGTAATCATATCTCAATGTCGTATTTGGTTTTCCGTTTATTTATCCTGTAGGTGGCCCCTACTTACAACCATTACTAAACATTAATACAAAAACAATCATAATTCTTCTCATAAAAAAACATTTTCTGACTCATTTTCTTTTATGATATATTGAAAATGACAAAATACTTCATGGTAAATATACATGTATTAAGAACAGTATTCCATGATATATAATCTAAAAGCTACATGTATATATAAATATATATATTATATTTTATATACTCTTTAGGTTATTTACAATCGAGAGAGTTAATACATGTAGTCAATCTGGTTAAAACACAGATCCTATTTCGTTTCATTTTTATAGTTCAAAATTTCGTTTTACTTGTCTTTACTACACTTGGATCTGGAAGAGTTGTTATTTAACTTGTGTTCTGAATGGTGACAGGGATAAGCCAATGAAACGGTCTGTCACGGCGAGCTTTAGGCCTGTTCTGCACGGAACTGTGGGTAATCCACTAGTAACATCAATGCTGATTGGTTAATCAAATGTCTGACATCATAGGGTCATAAGTCGGTCTTTTGACCCCTATGTGACCTATCGCTATATTGTCAGATCTTCATGTAGTGTAGGCCATCGAAAGTATAAAAAAACAAAACGAAATAAAGATCTGTATTTTAATCAGATTGTACATGTAGTTTAATAAAACATCATGAAGCTCAGATCAATTCACAATTTTAACTGTTAATTTATATATCAGGTGAAAATCATTCCACAATAAGGTAAATTTTTCTTATAATTGTTACATTCCTAAAAGGAAGGTATGTTTAGCCATAGTTCCCGGGTTAATGGACTCCATCTTGTGTGCTATGGGGTTTCCCAGTGTAGAATTAAAAGTTCCTTTTAGTACTGTGTCTTGTATCAAAGGTGAAAACTGAAACAAGAACGTATAAGTTACATTTATTATAAAATAATATAAAACATAAATATACTAAGATTAATACACCACACACATTATAGGTTAATACAATTAATCCTCCTTGTGCAGAGTCAGAGAGAGAGAGAGAGAGAGAAATGGAGTTTAACATCCATTCGACACAAACTAGGTCATTTTGGAACTAACACATGGTTCAACTTTATTTCAAGAATTCGTAGCAGTGGGAGAAAACTGGAGGACATGGAAAAAAACCTGTGAGGCTGGACAGGTGACCCTACTCCTTTTCACGGGGAATCGAAAACCACGCCAGTTGACTCAATGACAGACCTTATGATACAATGCGTACATGCTAACCATTCGGCCATCCCCCCCCCCCCTCATGTGCAGAAACAGAACCGGTGAACATAACAGTTCATGTAGAGACAAATGAACTCAGTGGACTTCCTTTTTTCAGAAAAAGTGGACATAACGGTTCATGTAGAGACATAAATGAACTTAGTGGACTTCCATTTTTCTGAAAAATTGTTCCTGTACTGGTAGTTCATCTCAGATCAATTAAAAAAATACATTTTCCTGAGATCTGGACAACCTAAGCTATACAGCTACATCCATATTGCCCTCTCTGTTTTCCCTCACCCAACTTACATAGGGCTAGTCATCCCACACCTTGTAAGATTAAATTCAAAGCATCCATGATGAAGACATTATAGGGATTGTTATAGGTGTGGATGTCTGGTGCAGACTAATAAAACATTTCTCGTGTTTTTTTCTTTATGACCTCAATATGTGATTCAATTCAACTGCACAAATATATTTTGTTAAATAATTAAAATGAAAGACGGCCTGTTTGGAAGAAATTTGACAGATTAGTATGTTGAGAATGTAACAAAAAAACCATCAAGAACTAGCTTAGGATTGATAATAGAGATAGCTATAGAAGTTTACTTCACATTTCTGTTTAAATAAAGACTGATATGTCTGAAAGGTGATAGAAAACACTTGTTAAGAATTAAACTCTTTTTTATCTCCGACCATCATTCAAGATTTTCCTCAATGCACCTTTTGTGTGCTAATTCTATTGGGAATTACTGATATGAATTGTATAGATGCGATAAATGGTTGGATTCGTATTAAAAGGTTGTTAAGTATGATGTATTGGTTGGAATAAGGCTGTATTCAATCTTATACTATACAGTGACCTAAGGGCATCCAGCACATTATCCTCCCATGTAAGACTATATCAGTAACTAAATTACTTGTATCTTAGTGATGGATTTATCTTGTACAATTGATGCACTAGTTATGTATTTGACCTATCTGACCTCTTTTGGGAAATTTCAGAACATAAATTGAATATGATACATAGGAAGTCAATAATTATAAACCATATTTTGTATTGCCCAATTTACCCCCTTAAAATATGAGTGTTTTGGTGTATATTGAGGGAGCTATATCTGCCAATGCTTTTTGATATATGTCAAAATAAGATATTGAATTGTGTTAAGAGAAAGTTGGCTTATTTACTAATTTTAGTTTCATATTTGGCCAACAATATGAAAAATGAAATGGGGTTTAACTTCCTACTGTTCTGCTCCTACTGGGCTAATGAAGACGGACATACGCCATACAGTGTGTTATGAGTACATTTAATGACTGCGGCGCTCTCGCCTACTCATATTTCAAATTCCAACTGTCAAGGGTTCTTTTACGTCAATGTGTACACACAATCTCTGTTTTTTGTACCATCCGAAGACTAAGTTGATTTGGCCGACACTGGAACACAAAATTGGTTATATCTACAAAGACAAATTGTCATTCCAAAAAAGGAAACCAAACAAAATCTTAATTTTGTTTTTGACCCAACTCAAAGCAGTTTTAAGAAGCAAAAAATGCAGTGATCTTAAAGTACTATATGTAATGGTGAATTTTTGAACGGACGTCATATATATATATATAAAACGATCTAAATAAATGGGTTATTTAAAAATCAAAATCACAGAAGCTAAGAATGAAATATTTTTGATCCCCAAGATTCTATATGAAGCTTCAAATTTCTGTGAATCTTTGCAAGAGACATTAAAGGGACAATAACACTCTTGCTGGCTTGACAGCTCCAGAAAATAAAAAAATAGATGTGTTAGTGTCCTACCTGTTGTGTAAATTATCCATTAAATCCTATTTTACTTGTCCAGAGGGTTCAAAAATATTTTTAAATCCAAGTTACATTTGAAAAGCTTTACGTCAGGCTTTTCAAATCATTTAGTTGAATTTTTCCAATTTTTTAAATTAGGTGTGTTAAGATGAAATTTGTATCATCAATTAATTGGAATATTGTAAAATAGTACAATTTGTTGACCAGAATAAAGATTGGGACATATTATTCAGTTACAACAAGAGTGGTATTGAGCCTTTAAAAACTATTGGTAGATGAATAAAGAATCTTATAAATGTTCCTGATATTTGTGTCTTGTAAGAATGTAAATGTTGTATAAACAGTTAGCAGCATACGGCTTCATCATAATATATGTCTATAATTTACATACTGTGTGGTTTGTTTAGTCTGAGTAATAAATTACTTAACAAATATACACATAGTTATATATTATTACCTTGTGCTGACATTAGGTATATAGTCTGACAGTTAATGTTTAGTCTTATATTTAACCTGATGCAATATGTCTATCAACAGTCTTAGTTTATCAATACCATTATTATACTAGACATAATTTACTACTGGTTAATTATATTATATATACCAACACTAGACACCTCTAGTACTATTATAATAGACTGGATATATAAATACAAGGGAAACAACTCTACTAATAACTCTTAAAGATTGTAGGTGCACATACAGGTATTTGTGCAAAAAATCAATTAAAGATGTGTCTGTAATTTTGAATAATTTGTCATTATTAATCAGCCGTTTATCATAATGAATGTTGAATGTGCATTTTAAACTAGAGATTCTAATAGTTTAAGTTCCAAGACTAGCAACCTTGTTTATTCCTCATGGTTTCCCCTTGTCAGTAGTGCAGGATGGAGGGCCTGATAAGGACAGCTGTCTAGTTGTTCGGATGGGACAAAAAAAATGAGGTCCCATGTATACCTTTGCATGAATATAAAAGATCCCTTGGCAGTTGGAATTTGATATAAGAGTATGTCATAGTGCCGCTACCCGAGCAAAATTTCCCTCAGAGCACACTGTATGGTGTATGGTGTATGCCCAGTCAGAGTAGAGCAGTAGGACGTTAAACTCCATTTTCGTTTCATTTCTTTTGTTAATCTCTCAAGACTTGATTATGTCCCATACTGTAAAGCAAGGTTGTTTAACCTGTCTTCAATTGATGTAGATAAGTACAACTCTATTTTATTTTATAAATTAGTATCACTAGTGCTAATTTAATGTGCATCTATGATTTTATAATAAACAATTTCATTTACTACTGTATCAAAAGGAATAGTTACAGTTAGTAACACTACCCTAGCTGACCATGGTCATCATATGTTCACCATTTTATGATCCATGCAGAAAGTTGTTCAAATTGATACTGGTACCTCATTCTTCATCATTATAAATACAAAGCGACTATTTCACAGAACAAATCACTCTCATAATAGTGAGCTGTCTGAAACCACTTCACAATTATCAACCCATGTAACTGTCTAGGCATAATAACCAGGTATCACACCCAAGGTGGAAGTGGCACAAACTATTGAGGAATCCCGAATGACAATATGATAAAGATTAAATATTAAAACAGAAGTTGATAATGAATATTATTATGTCAAACTAATGGAATGATATTACTTTAGTGTGCTGATTTTTACATTTGTAATTTCAATTTATACTCTCAGATAGATCATAATGAATTTTTTTTATATAAATTTTACTTTAAAAGGTACAATTTTATGGATACACAATTATTGAGTTTTTATACTAAGCAATGTTTCGACGAGGATAGTCTCGTCGTTATCAAGCAAATGTTAACGTTCAAGTACTAAATGCCAATCACAGAAGAAATTTTACTTTCTGAACGGATCAAATATTATTTTTTTGACTCTACATGAAACAATGTTTTCTCATGAACAAAAGTGACAAACTCCCTTCCCTCGTGTCACAAGTTTCATCGATTCAAAATGACAGATCTGACCGGAAATCTTGAAATATGCGAGACTTCACAGCATGTTGGTTAATCACTAAAAATTAATTCATTTGAGAGTATTTATGAATATTATATTTCATTATTAGTGGATATTATGTTAAAGGATGGTTGAATATATCAATGCACAGAGTTGGTGTTTAAGTCTTCAAAGAATTTGAGCTACGATAAATTTCTTTTGTACCCTGCGCAGGTGAAATTTGAGTAAAAAAAATTATTCTTCAGATAAAATTTAAAGATAAATTGCCAGGCAATGATACATGCATTGACAGTCAAGTAAATGTTGTCACTAATGGATTGTTTTGAAGTTGAGAAAATTTATACATTTTTTGTGATTCTGAATTTCAACAGGATTTCTCCTAGTTTGAACAATCACAGCAAGTTTGAAAAATAAAAACAAACACCTATAGACTTATTACAAAGTTTTTTGGATAAGGGCAAAAGTCTGGATTTAAGCAGGCTGCTTCATCCATATAAAAAGACAAACAATTCCAGAAAGTTTCAGGAAGAAATAAAACATAAGCTGCCAGGCAAAGAAACATATACACCCACCAACAGATAAGTGATCATCCAAGCAGTTATGAGCTATTATATACAAATCATACATTTTTGAAAAAGATCAATAATGAAAGTTTCAATTTCGAAAAGATAAATGGATTATTGTAATCTCTGTTCAATGTTGTACTAACAAAGAAATATAGAAGAATGGACAGACATATTAAAATATCTGGACACTGATGTTGAAAATTGATATGGAAATGAAATGAAATGGGGTTTAACGTCCTACTGTTCTGCACCTAAAATCTTTGCTTAAACATACATTATGCAAGAGCTAAATCTGCCAATTGCAGGGTTTTCTTTTGGCCTGAAATGTTATCTAAATTATTAATTAGACATTAATTAACTTATCCAGACCATAATCAACTCTCGATGTCATCGCTAACCTGCGATGTTTATTGGATTAGGTTCCGATTTGCTGTTCGACTTCCATTCATGATTTAATCAAGAAATGGATAATCGAGACTATGTTTTTTTTATCGTACCAACTTTAGTAATGATGATCGAGGCTAGGCCGAAAATTCAAAAGCTAACATCTCGGTTCAGAGTGGATCAATTTGATTGAAATTTTCAGCAAATTCCCTTTACATTATCTAGTTTTTAACTATTATAGTGAGAACTACTAGCTCTTTATCTTATCTCCCATAATGTATTTCAATTGCTTAATTCTCGCTTCATACTGGATCAATTTGACTGAAATTTTCAGCAGATTCCCTTTACATTATCTAGTTTTTAACTATTATAGTGAGAACTGATAGCTCTTTATCTAATCTCCCATAATGTATCTTTAACAGTGGTAAAATTTGGTGATGTACTGCATTATAATTAATGATTAAGTAATGAACAAATTTCGTAAACATTACTGAATATTATCAATTTATTTGATAATTATATTTGTCATCTGTAATGTTAATGTGCAATGACAATTTATATTTATAGCACCAAATTAAAACTCCATTTTTTTTTAGTTCAAAAATAATTAAATTATACATAGCTTAAGTGGCTATTTAAATTGTATCATATTATCCCATCAAATTTCATGATTTTTTGACCTCTTGTGTTAAAAGGGTGCTGGTCGTATAGGGTGGGGTAGTGAATTTAGATTACACTGTCAATCAATTGTGTGTTTTAACGGAAATGAATGGTTGAAATCAAGTAACTGATACTTTGATGAACTCAAAAATTGTGCTTGAACAAAACTACTCAAAACACCAATGTCATCACCCTTCACCTATAATACAATATCTGACTGTCTGAAGATGAACATTATGAATATTCAAACATCAAATGACTCATATAGAGATTTAAAATCAGATTTGCCATATAATGAACATTTTTAGCTTATAATAATCTCCTCTAGTTGACATGGACCTACTATAAGATAATCTCTCGATGTTTTCATTCAAATGAATAATAAATACAAAACCACCCCATTGAGAGATATGGTCAATATGTGTGAAAGCAAGTTGACCACAGTAATCTTTGTTTAAGAGAGAGAGAGAGAGAGAGAGAGAGAGAGAGAGAGAGAGAGAGAGAGGGGGGTTTAACGTCCATTTTACACAAACTAGGTCATTCCGGGACTAACATATGGTTTAATTTTATTTCAATAATTCGCTTGCGTGTAGGGGTCTTTAGCAGTGGGAGGAAACCGGAGGACCCGGAGAAAACCCACTAGGTTAAACAGACAACCCTATTCCTTGTCTTGTACAACCGGAGATTCGAAACCACGCTAGTTGACTCAAATCTTTGTTTCAGAAAGACATACTCCATGATAATTCTTAGTGACCTTTAATTCCACACTGTTATACTATTCAAACCAATTTGTCCCATATGCATAGGCTGGTATGACTGATATTTTGAAAAACCAGACTTTTATATAAGGATAAAACTAATTCAAATATTTTGTCTTTATATCATAAAACTTACCTCGTATGTTCCTGGACCCGGAGCTTCATTTTTAAAACTTTGGAATCTTTTATTTCTCGATACCATTAAACCTCCTTTCTTCGTTAATGTGTCTGCATTATTATCGTAGGCACCAGGACCTGAAAAAATATATTTATTGTTATCATTTCAAAAGATTTATATAGAACTTCACCAAAGTGCTTCCGTGGACTTGACATACAAGTGTAAACAATTTTAAAAGATAAACAAAAAACAACAAAACAATATGAAGTACATGAATATCAAGATATAAGATTACTATAGTATATGATGCATGTTTAGAATTTTTCAATTTTCTCAAAAATGCTAAAAATAAAATGAAATGGGGTTTAACGTTCTACTCCTATTTATACTGACTGGGCTAATGAAGACAGGCATATGTCATACAGTGTGCTATGAGGGAAATTTTGCCCGGGCAGTAGCAGTATGCCCTAATCTTATATCGAGTTTCAATTGCCAAGGGATCTTTTATGTGCATGCCAATATATACTGTGGCTCCCAAAAATGCTAAAAATAGAATAGTTAGTCACTATATAGTCAGTAATAACGATTTGTGTAATAAAAAAAACCCAATTTTCTTGTGCATGAAGGGACAAGAACTAAAACTAAATTAAAAAAATCTGTTATTACACGCTACTGAGCGTGATTATAAAGTAATTAAGTATTTTATGATCTTTTACATGAAATTAAATTACAGAATTAGCATTTGTGTCATAAATATCATTTCCAAAAACTGTACAGTCAAAATGTTTTCTAGATTTATTAGTGCCATCTGTTTGGGGCAAGTGATTAACATAATTGGAACTAGTTAAGAGACAAATGGCACAAGTCATAATTCACGGCCATATCACTCAACAATACATAAAATCTCCACCATTGAGACAATTACTACAAATACTTCTCTCTAGAACTAATTACTAAAACCTAAGGTATTTATATTATTACTAATAAAACCTTCTTCGAATATTTGTGTATAATTATATGGAAAGTTACCCATTTCAAGATATTCTACTCATTTACATACTAAAATATATATCTGTATAATAAAATTAAATCATAAATATAGAGGTAATTTGATGGCGCATTATGCAAGAGTTGATTAGTATTCCTGTCACTTCCATTATATGGAGAGAGAGAGAGAGAGAGAGAGAGAGAGAGGGAGGAGGGGTTTAATGTCCACTTGACACAAACTAGGTCATTTCAGCACTAACACATGGTTCAATTTTATTTCAATAATTCACTTGCACGTGGGGGTCTTTAGTAGTGGGAGGAAACCGGAGGACCCGGAGAAAACCCACTAGGTTGGACAGGCGACCCTACTCCTTGTCACGTACAACCGGAGAATTGAAACCACGCCAGTTGGATCAATGACAGACCTTTTAATACAGCGTGCACATGCTAACCATTCGGCCATCCAACCCCCTCCATTATATGGAGTCATTCTCTAGGTAACAAAATATATTCTTAAATATGTGTGCTGAAGCCTGAACCAATTGTTCTGTTTGTGTTATGTTGTTCTTGAGGAACTCGATGGCTATGCTGTAATTGTATTAGATATTGGTAGTTTAGAGTTAGTTCCAACTAAAGTAAATGTGGGTCTTTAACCAGGGATATTCAATATTTATAACATTTACCAGTAATTGGTAGAATCTGTAGAAGACAAGACGATTTATTCACTCCTGTATAAACGACAATATGATTTACTGACTCCTGTGACTTCATATACACATATAATACCCTTCACGTGGCTTGGGTAGATTAAAAATTGGTCATCACGGCAAGCAAGTTTATTTAGCTGATTTGATGCTTTGATTCAGGCTTTTATTAGCAAATACAACCACTCTCTAAAGATTGCTTCAATAAATCAAGTCGGATCATGTTCATTCTCGGTTATTTCTTATTTTTCTTTTTTGAGAGGGGAATCAATTTTTAGACGAGCGATTTCCAGATGTATATTAAGAGACATAGATTGCTTTCTCTTATTCGGTTTATTCAACGCAACAAAAGTCGTTAAAAAGATCAATGGATGTCAAATCATGCCACTAAGATACACAATTCTCAATAATCATTCACTTGAGAAACAAATTCACAAGACTGCCTTTCACAGTGATCATTTTGAAGAGGATAAAGACATCTAAGAAGAAAACCAAAATACACTCTTACTAACAAAAGCAAGGTTGATTTTCTAAAATTTTACATTTTCCTACTGAAAAAGGGGTTAAAGGTTAGAACATCATAAAAGGGGAATAATTCTTCATCAAATAAAGTCAGTGAAATTTGTCCCATTATTCAACATTAAAGTACTTCAAGTATGCAATACATCAAGTTATGATAGTCATATATGACTCATAACTTACAACTCTTGTAAAACACAATCCATGTTTCACATGAAAGTCTAATACATTTGTATAAATTCTTCATTCAAATTCATGTTTGAAGGCCAATATCCACTAAGCATGAAACCCACCACACTATTGCTCACGATTCTACTTGTACTTTCATACCAAAAATACAAAGAAAACATTCAAGTTGCGTAAGGCAATATGTAAAAAAAGGATGCACTAATTACTTCGTAAGTGAGTTATTATAGAAGACATCTGTCAACTATGCTATAACTATAAGACATTATTCAGTTATGTTATAAGACAATAATACTTAATAGTCAATTATGTTATCAGTCAGACATAATTTAATTAAAAGTTATAACCATAAGACATTAGTCAATTATGTTATAAGACAATAATAGTCAATTATGTTATCAGATGTAAGGTAATTGTGTTATAACCATAAGACATTAGTCAATTATGTTATAAAGACAATAATAGTCAATTATGTTATCAGACATAAGTTAATTATGTTATAAGACATCTGTCTTTATGATATAAGACATTAGTCAATTATATTATCAAATGTAAGTTAATTATGTTATAAGCCATCTGTCTTTATGATATAAGACATAGTCAATTATGTTATCAAACATATTTAATTATGTTATAAGACATTAGTTAATTATGTTATAAGTATAAGACATTAGTCAATCATGTTATAAGACATTAGTCAATTATGTTATAAGACATTAGTTAATTATGTTATAAGACATACGTTCTTTATGTTAGTTAATTATGTTATAAGACATAAGTTAATTATGTTATAAGACACAAGTTAAGTATGTTATAAGACATAAGTTAAGTATGTTATAACTATAATAAGACATTAGTCAATTATGTTATAAGAAGACATTAATACTAATAATAGTCAATTATGTTGTACGACAGAAGTCAATTATCTTTTAGATACTGATCATAAGACATTAGTTAATCAGTTGAAAATTAGTTGAAAAATGCAGGTACTTTAAAGCAGTAAACTGCAGCAGTCAAACCATGGTTGCAACCATTTATTTTTACAGCAAATGAAATGAAATGGGGTTTAACGTCCTACTGTTCTGCTCCTATGCTGGGCTAATGAATACGGGCATACAGCATATTATAGTGTGCTATGAGGGAAATTTTGCCCGGGCAGTGGCACTACCGCCTACTCTTATATCGAATTCCAACTGCCAAGGGATCTTTTACATGCATTCCAATGTATACACAGGACCTCAGTTTTTTGTTTCATCCGAAAGGACTAGACAGCTGTCCTTGTCAGGCCCTCCGTCCTGCATCATTAACAAGGGGGAACAGCGCCGGAAAATCTGAATGAACTTTCTCGGCCAATGCAGGGATAGAACACCCGACCTCCAGGCTAGCCAGCCAGCGTCTTACCCACTTAGCCACGTGATCCCCTTCTTACAGCTAGCTATTGCTGAAGTATAAAAGTTATGAAATGGACTTGGCTATTGTCCAAAAATTAAATTTGTGGAATTTATTTTCAATTTTAAAAAATAAGGCCTATTGTTAATTTGTGACTTATCATTTTATCTCTTACAATATTAGCATACAAACTTTTCACTTAATTGAAACTAGAATAAATACACTTAGTAAATCAAAAGTATGTCTGGCGATATTCATCAAAGTCAACATAATTTACTGGCTGGGTACATAATATCTCTTTTAAAAAGGACATAAATAATTGTAAACCTATTATGTAAGGTTAAAAGGTCAGGTGAAACATAATAAAGGAGTCTTTTAAGTTTGTAAACATAAGTAAATATATAAGAAAAGCGAGATTAAGTGATGTAATTGTGTAGGTAAACCAAGATTAACTCCAAAGCTGTTAAACAGATTCTAGGTAACTGAGATCTGACGGTTCTACATCTTAACTGATTTTAAATATTTGTTTAGTAATATTAAGATATAGTAAAGTGGCTTAGAATTAGAATAATAATAACCAAAACATGTTTTAAGATAAAAAAAAGACACCTAGAAGATTAGCGTAAGATGCTGATTAAAATCTCAGCCAGATATCAATTTTACTCAATCCAAAGAAAAGGGTAATTTTATCAAAAACAAACCCAATCCTGAAACCTCCATTAAGCTTTTTGAAATAACAGTTCACCTAACACTGATTAAAATCTCAGCCAGATATCAATTTTACTCAATCCAAAGAAAAGGGTAATTTTATCAAAAACAAACCCAATCCTGAAACCTCCATTAAGCTTTTTGAAATTACAGTTCACCTAACACAATTTCTAGTTATTTGATAAGACTAAGATACAATTCTTTATCAACTATACAATTGCTGTAATGACAGAAGTCTACGAGTGTCTTTGAAAGGCATTTAGTGAATGCGATATATAATAACAGCCAGCTTTATGGATAACATTTATTAGGTTTATTAACTGCAACGTTTCAATGAGGATACTGTTGCAGTTAATAAACCTAGTGAATGTTATCCATAAAGTTGTCTGTTTATTATAAGTCTACAAGATTTAAAATCTTATCAGTTACCATGTAAAGATCAATGATCTGTGTCCATCAGATCTTTGAATATTGTTTTAAATACCAGTATCGAATGTGGCAAATTTTAACATAAAATAAAGATCCATCACAACAAAGGGAGTAAATTGAATATCTATAAAAATAATTGAACAAACCTGGTACATCTGGATCTGGGTGTTCGGCTATAACATTACGTGCCGGAGCAAATCTTGATGCAGCAGACATAAAGGAGCCATGTTTCTTCTTCGCCGTTTCATTCCTTGGCTTAGCTCTATGGGGCTTTATTTGAGAGTTTACGTAAGATTTGTGAACTTCATAAGAACCTGGAGGGGGAATTTCCTGTAAAATAATTAGTTTAAATTAAAACTAAAACAAAATGTCAGAAAAATACAATTTAGAATAAATAATCAGCTAGATGTTATGATTTTGCATATAATTGTACAAGTTCTTGTATGTGTTATTGGATTTTCCAAAAATTCTAAATATTCTCTCTATGTTTGTAAAACAATGAACAAGAAATTAAATCTCTAAAAGTTGTCACTCTCCTGGAAATAAACATGGGTTGCCAGGCAACTAAAAATTCATCCACCAAAACTGTTTATAACTTGATTGTCACTCATTTAATGTTTTGCAGTTTTGAAGAGAATTTATCCATAAACCTGGTAATACTATTAGCCTGCATGTTATGGACATTTTAAAACCAAAACATAAGTTTGAGTATAACTGCAGGTGAGTGTGTTTGAGAGAGAGAGAAAGAGAGGTTTAAGGTCCACTCTAGACAAAGCTGTAAATAGAACTTCCGCTAACAGAATATGCCTGTCATAGTAAGTATGTTTGATTTTAATTCGATTGGTAGAGCGACTACGCTGTCTCGATAGCAAGGGCATCAACTCTGTGAATAAGTGATGCACAGCTCTGAATTTTCGTGGGGTGTACCTCTGTGAGTAAAGTAATAAGCCTGACATGGCATTTTTTAAAACCATCATATCTGTGGAGTAAATATAAAGAATTGTATGGACAGACTGGAAAATATTAACATTGACAGGTGGCGATCTCAGTGAATTTTTATCAACAACAAATACAAGTTAATTACAGGCTGGTTAATCTCAACTACTTGCACAATTGTTGACAGCTTTACAGGAAGTTGCTGTTAATTTCAATCTTGGAACAAGACAGAATTAATTTCAAGAAACTTGTGGTGCATTGCATAAAAATTTCCAACCTAAAGTGTAAGTGAATTTGGTTTTGGAAGGCAATTGTGTTATCTATTTTCATAGGCATATTGTATTACAGCAGTACAGTTTGGTAACAAACATAAGTCTGTTTATTATTAATGGAAAATTCTGCGGTCACAAACACAAACATTGAGATGAGAATATCTAATTTGTACTGGTACTTGATTGAGTTAACAAATATTGACAGATATAGATGAGTCCCAGTAGACAACTGACATTACACTATAATAAGACAGTCTCGACAACAGATATCTTTCATTACTCACTTCTTACAATTGTTGTTATAAATGTAAGGTCATTCTGTCCACATTTAAGTGGATTACCTTACCCTTCAAAAATTATTTGGTCTTCTACCTGGGAGCAAGTACAGGCTCCCTAACCATAGTTTATACATCAAAATGGGTGCTATGCAAGAGGAAGTGTTAGCTTACTTTTCGTTTCTTAAAATTTAAATTAAAGGGGATTCTCCACATTATTTTGAATATCAGTTATTAGGCATGTCAACAAAACAAATCTTCAGATTTTTAAAAATTCTTTTTCTTTTCACATTGGTGTGGATGTCAAAATAAAACATGGGAAATAGGCCTACAATGTACCGAAAATACTTTAACACCTAGGGTCACCGTGGCTAAGTGGGTAAGACGCTGGCTTGCTAGCCTGGAGGTCAGGTGTTCGATCCCTGCATTGGCCGAAAAAGTTCATCCAGATTTTCCAACGTGGTTCCCCCCTTGTCAGTGATGCAGGACAGCTGTCTGGTCATTCAGATAGGACAAAAAAACGAGGTCTTGTGTACATATTGGTGTGCACGTAAAAGATCCCTTGACAGTTGGAATTCGATATAAGAGTGGTTCCCCCCTTGTCAGTGATGCAGGACAGCTTCTAGTCATTCAGATAGGACAAAAAAACGAGGTCCTGTGTACACATTGGCATGCACGTACAAGATCCCTTGACAGTTGGAATTCGATATAAGAGTAGGCCGTAGTGCTGGTTTCCGGGCAAAATTTCACTCATAGCACACTGTATGGCGTATGCCCGTCTTCATTAGCCCAATTCTGAGCAGAACAGTTACGTTAGGACGTTAAACCCCATTCCAATTTCATTTCATTTCACTTTACACCGAACCTTAAGCAAATGGAAAATATGTATCTAAATGAAAGAGAGAGAAATGGGGTTTAACGTCCACTTGACACAGACTAGGTCATTTCGGGACTAACATATGGTTTAATTTTATTTCAATAATTCGCTTGCGCGTAGGGGTCTTTAGCAGTGGGAGGAAACCGGAGAAAACCCATGAGGTTGGACAGGCAACCCTACTCCTTGTCATGTACAACCGGGGATTCGAAACCACGCCAGTTGACTCAATGACAGGCCTCGTGATACAGCGCGCGCATGCTAACCCATTCGGCCATCCAACCCCCCTGTATCTAAATGAAAATACAACCTTAATTTATAGTAATTGCCTATCTTCTTCAATGTGTAAGAGAGAGAGAGAAATGGGGTTTAACGTCCACTCGACACAAACTAGGTCATTTCGGGAATAAAACATGGTTCAATTTTATATCAATCAATCGCTTGCACGTAGGGGTCTTTAGCAGTGGGAGGAAACCGGAGGACCCAGAGAAAACCCATGAGGTTGGACAGGCGATCAATGTATAAGGATTTCTTGGACATAATATAAAGACTTTTTACTTTGACTTCAGAGTAGTTTAACTATAAAATGTCATTATTATAAAAAATCTTACAATATTTATACAGCATGTGAGACAAGATATAAAAATAGACATTATGTTGACCGCTATAATTTGATCCAATCAGCATAGAAAGAAATTGTAAATATGAACAAGGCAATTGTAGAAATAGCCTCATTCACTTCGGCTAATTTTCTGTGGTCTATGGTGAAATGATCAACATGTAAATTACGGACATTGATGAAGCTTCGCTTGTTATAAACGTTCTGTAGCTCTTGTAGGCGAGTTGACTCCTAATGAATAGAATTATTGTGGTGTATTGAGTTTTATTGACGAAGCAATAGAATCTAGATATAATGAGGTATAGAGAAAGACGGAAATGCTTGTTGGTCTTGATAACAGTTATTTAGTCATCTTCCTTCCAGCCTTGCCATATAATATAATATGACATATCATCAAACATGTGTAATAGACTTGATAGAGAGCTTATATAATAGCTCCTTAAACGTCACTACAGTACTGCATTATTATTAAACATGTGTAATAGTCATGAAACACTAGATTAGAACAAGTTACATCTCTGTAAAACTAGAAAAACTACCATCTATTTGAAACCTGTTAATTTTAATTATCTGTTTAAACTAGCACCTTCTACCCAACGGGGACATCTCACTGTGCCCCCTGCTATTGTTCTCATGGGGGGATTAATCAAGCAAGGGGATTATCAAATACAATGGTGTTAAAAGTATAGTCTGTTTTTTTAAACTACTAGGTTTAAACTAATTAACAACTTTATTCACAATAAATTTCATAAAAGTAACAACAAATACATGTATCAAACATAAATCATAACCCTACTAAATGTGATATGGCGTCAGTATATTCAATTGCACTTTTTACTCCAGTTTGATTTTTAGATCATTAATAGATTATTCTACTCTTTTATATTTTCGTCTTTTAGGGGGCAATGGTCCCCCGGTATCCGACTATTGTATTTTCAGTAAAAGTCTGCTGGTGCTATTGGGTTTCGTATTTTTTACTCTGTACTTATACCCCAAATTAACTAAATTTTGACCTCCTTGAGAATTAGGAATAAACCCTATGCGAACTTGAGCCATTTTAAAAGATATAATGTAATTGGGGGTGACAACTATCCTTATATAATGATAGTGAGTTTCTAATCATATATTTGATTGATTTATGAGTACTGTCTGAATGAAAGGTAGGTGAATAATATTTAAGATACTCGTTAACCAATGACACGTGAACTTAACTTATATATTTTAATCATTAAAATAATTAAATTTTAACTAAGTGAACAGTACTAAAAGGGATACAGTCTATAATCCTTTGTTTACTTAAATTTTCACACCACTACCCTATAACACCAGTTGATTGGGGGGTACAGTGAGATTAAACCTACCCAACAGCTATATTGGCTTCTGACATTCTGGCTCCAATCATGGTTTGTGACAGGTATTGTTCATCAGGCAGGTTATGCTTACTCTTAATTGGACTGGCCTGGTCGCTAATTAATTCCTGTTGCATACTTTATTTTTGGCAGATTTATGTGTTCCCTAACTTTTGTCAATTTGTTTGAGTAGATTCTTAGCATTTTTTGAAAACTTTACCAAATTTTTCAAATTGGGCTGTCAAAAGATGATGTATTGTAATAAAGGTTTTCTGCAATAAATGTTGCATTGATACTTTCTCTTTGTTTTTATTAATTGTACTGAAACAATTGTAACGAAATGAAATGGGGTTTAATCTCCTACTTTTCTGCATTGACTACACTAATGCAGATGGGCTTACAATGCACTGTGCTATAAGGGATATGCCATACATTGTGCTATAAGGGATATGCCATGCAGTGTGCTACAAAGGATATGCCATACCATACAATGTGCTATAAGGGATATGCCATACATTGTGATATAAGGGATATGTCATACAGTGTGCTATAAGGGATATATGCCATACAGTGTGCTATAAGGGATATACCATGCAGTGTGCTAGGTCATATCAGGAATAACATATGGTTCAATTTTATTTCCACAATTCGCCTGCACGTAGAGGTCTTTTGGAGTGGGAAGAAACCAGAGGACCCAGAGAAAACCAACAAGGTTGGACAGGCAACCCTACTCCTTGTCGCGTACAACCGGGGAATCAAAACCACGCCAGTTGACTCAATAACAGTTATTATGATACAGCGCACACACGCTAACCATTCGGCCATCCAACCCCCTGTCTGCTAAGGGATATTTTGATGCCCTGTAGTGTGTTATAAGGGATATTTTGATGCCATGCAGTGTGCTATAAGGGATATTTTGGTTGGACAGCAGCATTTCCAACTAATTTTCATTTAATTCCAAATGTCCAGGGTTCTTTTACATCCTGCACATAGGATAGAAAAACCGGTATTATATTGAACTTTTAGTTTTGTATTTTATGGTATCATTCAAAATTCTAATTCCAAAATTTAAAAACAAACGTACCGGGCGCCGGTACATAAATATGGGCAAAAGTGTTAACAATATTTTACAATATGTATTACAACACATCTGGTTGTCTCGGCAACTCGCAATACGATCTTGGGCTGCAATACAAAGCCCTAATTTCAATCTGATTAAAATACAGATCTATATTTCATTTTTTTATACTTTCGATGGCCTCTACTACATAAAGATCTGACCAGTTGTAATGGTAGGTCTCAACAGAGGTCATACGAGTGGCTTTTGACCCTATGATGTTTAACATGTTAGACATTTGATTAACCAATCAGCATTGATGTTTCTAGTGAGTTACCCACAGTTCCATGCAACTCACACCAAAAACTTGCCATAATTAACAGACCGTTTCATTGGCTAATCCCTCGCATCAACTAAGATGCGGGTTATATAAATACTCTTCCAGATCCTAGTGTAGTAAAGACAAATAAAACTAAATTTTGAACTATAAAAACGAAACGAAATAGGATCTGTGTTTTAAACAGATTGCCCTAATTTCAAATGGCGAGCTAGACAAACATTTTAAAACTGTGATTAGAAGAAACTAACTTATGCATCAATGGGTAATCAAACTGTCCATATTTCAGATTTCATCCACAGTGTTAGTCATTAGCCAGTTTTTTTGTTCGTATTTTTTTCATTTTTGTAACAGACTTGTTTAAAACAAAGAAGTGTTTATAAATATTTAACATTGTGCATGTATGTGTCATATCAGTGACAAAGAACTACACAGAACAAAGATTTCATACCATAATTTCACCTCTTCATTTACAATCCCCAAAGTATCAATTGAAACAGCCAAAAGAATTACTTCTGGAACAATTACAAATACCTCTTGACAATGATTTACATTAATATTTATAATCTTTGTGTCACATATCATGTCAAAAAATAGGCAACTTGCAAACAAAATTCAATTACTGTGTAACTTAATATGTTTATTGAGACTCAGTAAAACACACTTGTCAAATTAACTGCCTGTAATAACCAAACCAGAATATCATCAGTCGCATTATTACCCTGGCTGTTAAACCCAGTTAGCCATCTTTTTTAAGTTAGCAAAACACATTATTTTAATTTTCCAAAGCAGTAATTATGCAATTATCTTTAATTTATTTAATATTTATATTTATTGTAGTGTGATAATGTTTTTTGATGATGTAGTTTAAATCATTTATGAGTTTGTGTAACAATATTAAATGTAAAATCCTACAAATTTCCAGCTGTTGATACAGATATTAAAAACATTTTCAGTTAAAGAAGATAATATAAAATTTATTAACACAATTTATTGAATCCATTACCATTTGTGTAACTATTTGATAGAAATTAATCAAGTATTTCTCATAAACAAGTAAATGTATATTTAAGATTTGATGATGTTTTCAATAGAATAAAGAGCTTCTTGTTAATGTGTCATTATTATCGTGATATAGCCATTTTGAAAATAGATTCTACAGTTATTCAAACTATCAAGTTACAATCCATCATTAGTGTGAAATCTAAGAGTACCATATAAATTTAGGATTAATTAATAAAAACTACTTCTCTTTTTAAAATTACTTTTTTAAATATACATGTCCTTGTTAAGGATGCATTCTGCTAGTGGTAAATCTACCTAATTTTTTTTTCCTGGCTTCAAATGTTAAATTATTATTTCGAAATTTATTCAAATGACAAGGTCATTTCAGGACTAACATATGGTTTAATTTTATTTCAATAATTCGTTTGCGCGTAGGGGTCTTTAGCAGTGGGAGGAAACCGGAGGACCCTGAGAAAACCCATGAGGTTGGACAGGCGACCGACCCTACTCCTTGTCACGTACAACCGGGGATTCGAAACAACGCCAGTTGACTCAATGACAGACTTTATGATACAGCGTGCACACGCTAACCATTCAGCCATCGAACCCTCCTTCAAATGACAAGGACACAATCAACTCTCTAGTTCATTGGATGGATGATATATTGAATGGATAAGACCACTGGTGCATATAAATATAATCGGTTAAAATTAAAATGGATGTCATTCAATAAAAGGACTTAAAATCAAGAATTTTGTTTATCATCATGGCAATGGTCTTCTCCCAAAATACAAGTATTAGCCTCAAGATTATTTCTGAGAGAGAGAATGAAATGGGGTTTAACGTCCACTTGACACAAACTTGGTCATTTCGGGACTAACACATGGTTCAATTTTATTTCAATAATTCGCTTGCGCGTAGGGGTCTTTAGCAGTGGGAGGAAACCAGAGGACCTGGAGAAAACCCACGAGGTTGGATTTCTGTGAAGAGAATAGCTAAATTACTTACCTTTATTACCGATGGTGGCTCAGTTAATCTGTTGCTTAAAGATGAGAAATTTGAAGTCATTTGTTGAAGGCGGGTTGTATATGGTTTATCTTTAACTTGATAATGCGCTGGTCCGGGGATTTCTGTGTCTTCTTTCTTATTCAAGACTTGAATACGAGCAGATGTAGTACCAAATACTCCCCTTCTTGTACTCTGTAGATACGCCTTTCTCATGCTTTCTGATCCCATACCTGCTATATTATAACTTCCTGGACCTAAAATAGCATTATACATAAAAAGTTTATAATGATAAGCTCCAAAAACTATTCTTATCTAGTTTACGTATTCTAGAAAAAATAAAATTCAAGATAAAATTCTCTCTTTTTTTGTTATCAGTAAAGATTTCTGATCATCTTAAAATATTTAGCCATATCTGAAGAAAACATTAACAAATGATGATTTAACACTCTAGCTGGAAGAATTTCACCAAATTTGATGAGACTTTCTGGATTGCAAACTAGAATTGAGTCATGATGATATGAATATGAATAGTTCACATTTGAATTAGATGACATTAATTTCAAATTTGAAGCACACTATTGATAGCATTTAAATTTAGATAAAGTTAAACTAAAAGTAGCGTTTAAAGATGCATATGTAAGATTTAGATAAAGAGTTGGCCGTTCTTGCTACAATAGTTCAAAATTTAAGTCAAATTACTTTATTCTGGGTGAAGTTATGACTGTTTGAAGATGTAGGGTATATCATTTATTATAGTAGCAACAGTACTTAACAACCGAGGCTAAGCTTTGATAGTCCATTTTATCGTTAAATTTTTATAACTCCCATTTAAATTTTGTCACACCGATGATCTAGAGCAGTGATTCTCAGCCAGATCTTCCTAAGTGTGCCGTGAAATTTTGAACGGCACTCTAAGAAAATGCAAAAAACCATGTGATCCAAATTGTGTATTCACTGGTGTCTACTGATAAGCTGGGTTTGTCTTTATTTAATTTTAGTCATTCTATGTGTTTATGACTAGTCTCTGTCTACGGTTGTATGCCGTCTAACCTACCATGTTTTTATTTTGCAAATTTCAAATACATTTCATATATATTTAGCCAGGTGTGTCGCTATTTTTTCATGTGTTCCAAGGTGTGTCGTTGGCAAAAAAAGGTTGAGAACCACTGATCTAGAGAGTTGATTATAGACTTGTCATGTTCATAGATGTCTAAATATTAGTTTATATAACATTTGAAGCGAAAATAAAGACTTGCAAAAGGCAGATTTAGCTCTTACATAATGCATCTTTATTGTATAGGGTGGTTAAGCTTATCAAAAGAATTTACCTGGTATTTTTCGTATGTGATGTTCATTATTAAAGCGGCTTGATGTCTGTGAAAATGGACTTCTTTTTAACCCTGTGACTCGACGCAAACTCTCTAAAGCAGTTCTTGGATCATTATAAGTTCCTGGCGCTGGAACTGCTTTTTTTATAGGTTGAAATCTCTACAGAAAAGACAGAATGTGTGCAAACATTTCTAAATATGAATCATTATGATTTGAAAATAATTTCTTGAAATACGTAATAGAGAGGAGAATATTTAAATTACTCTGCCTGATTGTTATAAACTGGGATAGGAGAGAATCATTGATATAGGCCATACCTGTTTCTCAAACGATTTCAATTATTGAGAGAGAGAGAGAGATAGAAATGGGGTTTAACCTCCGCTCGACACAAACTAGGTCATTTCTGGACTAACATATGGTTCAATTTTATTTCAATAATTCACTTGTGCATAGGGGTCTTTAGCAGTGGGAGGAAACCAGAGAACCCGGAGAAAACCCACGATGTTGGACAGGCGACCCTACTCCTTGAATAAAATATTGTTTAAAAAAAAAATTACCGGTGGCTCACCTTGGATTGAGATAAAAATGGTGGATGTTCAACTTCTATACCTTCAGTATTAACTTTAGCAGGTAATGGATCAAACTGACCTTTAATATCATATTTACCTGGACCAGGAACAGACTGAACAAAAAATAAATAATAGAAAAATAGTCTTAATTTGAGTTGTAAAGTAAATTCAATCTTAAACACAGATATATAGTATATAAGAATATAATAAAATTTCCAACAGTATTTGGATTTAATTCATGTTAAACGAAACACCAAGTCAAATCTGACTATTAAAAGGCCCAATACTCCAAAGCAAATAGAGACTTTCAACAAACCATAGATACAAAATTAAAGTGTCCCCCAGGCAAAGAAAAAACACCACCGACATTACGAATGATGGCTATCATGTTATGAGGACCAGGGGCAAATAAATAACTGCATAAAATTTATGGCCATTATTTTAGAGTCTGTAATAGTTTTTGGTGGTATGGATGGAAACATTGCAAAATATCCTTATACGACTCTGAATTTTAATAGGTTTCCTTAAATCCAGCTAATTTTTAAAAAAAAAAGTCTGCACAGTGTTTACATGGATTATTGTCAGACTACTCTACAGATATGATCAATGACAATTATACTCCCAATGAAGGATGGGTGTCTAAAACTCTAAGTTATTGTCATTTAAGTTCACACAGCTACGTTCTACTGAATCTACAGCCATCTTTATTTCTTTGTAATTCATTTGTTGAACATCAAGATCAAGATGATATTTAACTATCTTTTTGTTTTAATCATTATAAATTATATCCTTAAACATACATTATGCAAGAGCTAAATTTACCTATTTCAGGTCTTTCTTTTGGCCTGAAATGTTATCTAAATGATTAATTAGTTAACTTATCCAAACCATAATCAACTTTCAATGTCATCGCTAGCCTGCGATATTTACTGGATTAGGATCCGATTTGCTGCTCAACTTTCATTCATGATTTAATCATGAAATGGATAATCAACTGTTTTTTTGACTGAAATTTTCAGCAAATTCCTGTAACATTATCTAGTTTTTAACTATTATAGTGAGAACTGCCAGCTCTTTATATAATCTCTCATGAAGTATCTTTAAATAAAGAAAAGGTTTATAACTAGCCTTCTGTCGCATTCTTACCCTTTTCTCTTCTTCTAAAGTTACAACTTCATGATATCTTGGTATTCGTGCATCGTAGCGTTTGGTTTCTTCTTCGTGCATATTTGTGTTTTCTGCTTTTACTAAGGGTTCAATATAAGGGTCATAATCTCCTGGTCCAGGTCCATTCTTCCCATGAAAATCACTTCTTTTGGATGACATTTTCCCAAAATGAACACCTTTATACTGCTTAACTGTTCTGGTGTCCGACTGAAAAGGCAAAAAAATATTCTTTTACATTATATTTATTTTGGCAACGTCAGAAATGGCAAAACTTTGATAAGATTACAAAATTGATTTCAAATGTTAGTTTAATGCTATCCAATTTGTTTTTAAAAAATCAACTGGATTTAATTTTTAGCTCCTCCAATAATTCGGTTAGAAATTGTTTCACTCATCAACATATCAATACATTAAAATTCAAATGAGAAATTGGTTGGAACAGAAAAATGGAAAAACTTGTACTTTTACAAGAAAAATTGTAATTTGTTCCCCCCCCCCCCCGATTCAAATGGGGTGTGTATCATGAGGCCTGTCATTGAGTCAACTGGCGTGGTTTCGAATCACAGGTTGTACGTGACAAGGAGTAGGGTTGCCTGTCCAACCTCGTGGGTTTTCTCCGGGTCCTCCGGTTTCCTCCAACTGCTAAAGACCCCTACGCGCAAGAGAATTATTGAAATAAAATTAAACCATATGTTAGTCCTGAAATGACCTAGTCTGTGTCCAGTGGACGTTAAACCCCATATCCCTTCTCTCTCTCAAATGGGGTGGAGTGGGTCAAGTGATCTAACGTGTGCACGTTAGATCATAAGGTACTGTCATTGAGTCAAGTGGTGTGGTTTCGATACCAAGTCTGTATGTTACAAAGAGTCACCTGTCTAACGTAATAATTGAATTTTGGAAATAAAATTGTACCAAATGTTAAAACTAGTTCCAAAATAACATAGTTTGTGTCAAGTGGAAGTCAAATCCCCATTTCTCCCACACACTACCTATTTAAATGAGGTCAATAGCAAAAAAAAGTTAAAAAAATAAATCTCACACTTGTCATTAAAACCTTGTCACCAAAATAAACAAATTAAAAATCTTATTGAGTCATAGTTCCATTACCATGGCACCATATATCTTAACATAATATCATCAAGACAATATGATTGAAAATATTAAATTAATTTTTGATAAAAATCCATCCCTGCATCATTTATCATGATTATTATCATATTACTGGCACTTGTAAACAATGGTAATTACTCTAGGGATGCTCAAGACAAAACAAGTCCACATGATATATTAGAGCTACAGTAATCCTTTTAGATCTTGGAAAAGCAATTTCAATTCCGCAAAATGACCAAAGCTGCCCAGCAGAAGTATAAATCATAAAAAACAACAAAGGATTTCAACTAACTAGAAATATTAAAGCAGAAGATTAGGAGCAATGGCATTAATTGTTACTTTACAAAGTGTGTTGAGGTTGTGTTATGTTTCTTCAATTTCATTTCTTTGTTCTGCGTCTTGCTTCTCTATCGGTCATAATATCTACCCAATCAAAGCCATTTTTACTTGTAAAACCTGTTCATCATGTCTCTTATAGGCCTTTTATTCCACTTGAATAACCGCTCCTAATTATTTCAAGATAAGATGGGCGACCAGCATGCCCTGTCAAATGTGCCGTGACTAAAACATTGTTCCAATTACACAGAGCACTTAATATTTCTTTTGTTCGTTTGCTGGTGTTAGGTTTGTCTCTCAAATAAATTCACTCATTTTTACTTCTGCACAAAAAAAATATTTTTAAGTAGTACTAGAAATGATCAAGTCTAATGAAGCACTTAAAGACCATAATGCTAATTATTTTAGAATGATAAGAGACAGGCTTAGTGAATTTCGACAAACCTTATACTACTCATGATACCTTTAAAGTGATCCTATTTAATTACATGTAATTATCAAATTAGTTCAAAGATCTCCTGTCAAATCCATAATATTTAGTCTAATTCACAATGGAGTCACTGTAAGTCTGTCTATTGCTTATGGAATAATATAAATATACAACTTTTGATCAGTATTAGAATTACAATTTGATATATCTTATGTATAGGTCACAAAGCAATGGAAGACAATTACTGTTTATTACTGAGCGACATTTCGACTGGGTGTCTATCTATCAATCAGTAATAAACATTAATTGTATTACACAGAATCATGACGTGTTTTCTGTTCCATTGTTCTTTTTAACTCATGGATATGCTGTATGCACACATTTTGCTTTTCAAATTTTGAAACTTTGAAAGTAAATTCAACATCGGTAATCTGGATTATTAATAGGTCACATAACAAATCTTTTTATGGCTATAAAAAGTTACACTGATTGGTGAATACAAAAAGACAATGTAGATATCTGGTTAAAATACAGATCTCTCTATTTCTTTTTCGTTTTTTTTTTTTATACTTTTGATGACCTAAACTATATAAAGATCTGACCGGTTGTACTGGGAGGTTGCGCAGGTGTCATACAAGTGGCTTTTGACCCTATGACGTCAGAAATTAATTAATCAATCAGCGTTGACGTTTCTAGACGTTTACCCACAGTTCTGTGCAAAGCACGCCAAGGATTCACGGTAACAGACCGTTTTATTGGCTAATTCCTCACATCAACTAGAACACCTGTTATATAACAACTCTTCCAGATCATGGTGTTTTGAAGACAAGTAAAATGAAATTTTGAACTATAAAAAAAACGAAACGAAATAGGATCTGTGTTTTAATCAGATTGGATATCTATGTAGGGAGACTTTAAAAGTATTCTCGGTATGAAGATTTGTTCTATCAACCTAGTTCACTGAAAAGAAATTGGTTCAGATACTTACATGATCTAATTTATAAAATGCTGGTCCTATTGAAACATCTCTTTCTGGTGCATCCTGCTTTTTTAAACTACCATCATCACAATCTTCATAACCATAAGCTTGTCCAGGACAGGGTATTGATGGTGCCTCAGGTTTACGATGGTATTTTATTCTACATGTATTCTGCATATTTAATAAAGTATATATTTATAACAGGTCAACATTTTGATAATAAATACCAAACTATTTTTTATTCATTATTCATATCATATAAATAAGCTTATAGATCTAAATACAAACAAAACTATAGGAATATAAAACTGGTAAAATGAACACATACTTTATATTTTTGTTTCAATATCTGGATAAATATTTGAGAAAAATTTGCCAGCTTATGTAAAAACCAAAGTAAAATGAAAGATGTTATCTGGTGTTCCAGAATGTGTAAGTAACCAAATGGTTAAAATACTTACAGGATCTCTACTAGCTGCTGGAGCTGATTTAGATTGTAGAGTAAAGTCAGATGAAGCATGTACATTGTAACTTCCTGGACCAGGTGTTTCTTTTAAAATATCATCAAATCTTTTACCTTTATTAGCTACAGTTGATCCACCCTATATAAATTCAAAAATTGTATAAAACTGAATTATGAAAGTTAAGATGATATGTCAGAAACAATAAACAGGGAACATCATGAATTAGAGATCAATTTAGAACAGATATTGTACATGTATTAAAGGGAAATAATGCTGAAACACTTTGATCGATAACCTTTATTTATACGGTTAAACAAACATTATGCAAGAGCTAAATCTGCCTATTGCAGGTCTTTCTTTAGGCCTGAAATGTTATCTAAATTATTAATTAGACATTAATTAACTTATCCAGACCATAATCAACTCTCGATGGCATCGCTAGCCTGCGATCTTTATTGGATTAGGTTCCGATTTCCTGTGGGTATTCCACTAGAAATATCAACGCTGATTGGTTAGTCAGATGTCTGACGTCATAGGTAAAAAGCCGGCTGGATGACCCCTGAAACGACCTCCCATTCCAACTGGTCAGATATTCATGCAGTAGAGGCCATCGAAAGTATAAAACAACGAAACGAAATATAGATCTATATTTTAATCAGATTGTATGTCCATATGACTGAAAATTTATCCCAAAATGGCAATAAACCTATTCAGAGATTCTTCTATCTGTGTTTATACTTTTAATGTTGGACTTCAGATGCCCAAACTTACGATAGGATTAATCAATTTTAATAATTTCTTGACCAATATACTTTTTGGCAAAATTACCTTGACAACACTTTGTGAAGCATGCAGGTCATAATGGCCTGGACCGGGTGCTGCTACCACTTGATCATTAACATTTAAAAATGTTTCTCGTGATGTCATAGACAAAAACGGTGCATACCCATCTGAAGAAGACAATTATTATAATTATCACAATGCTCTACAAAAGTAAAAGAGTGTCCTTTATTTATCATTGGGGTTTTCTTGGCCATTGTGTCATGCAAATATTTAGAATTTTTACTTAGTCTAGGTAACATTCTCATAATCCATAACACCAATTTATATAAGGATTTTCAATCCCTGCATTGGCCGAGAAAGTTCATCGCGATTTTCCGACGTGGTTTCCCCTTGTCAGTGATGCAGGACGGAGGGCCTGACAATGACAGCTGTCTGGTCCTTCGGATGATACGAAAAACCGAGGTCCCATGTTAACATTGGAATGCACGTAAAAGATCCCTTGGCAGTTGGAATTCGATATAAGAGTAGGCGATAGTGCCGCTGCTCAGGCAAAATTTCCCTCATAGCACACTGTATGGCATATGCCCGTCTTCATTAGCCCTATAGGAGCAGAACAGTAGGACGTTAAACCCCATTTCATTTCATTTATATAAGGATTCCTTATAAAATGAGAACATGATTTTGTGTGGTCTCATGAATTTGTTTACTTTTAAAGGCTCAATACCACTCTTGTTGTAACTGAATAATATGTCCCAATCTTTATTCTGGGCAACAAATTGTACTATTTTAGAATATTTCAATTAATTGATGATACAAATTTCATCTTAACACACCTTATTTAAAAAATTTGAAAAATTCAACATAATGGTTTGAAACGTCTAATGTAAACCTTTTCAAATGAAACTTCGATTTAAAAATATTTTCGAACCCTCTGGACAAGTAAAATAGGATGTAATGGATAATTTACACAACAGGTAGGACACTTAAACATCTAGTACTTAGATAGAGATATTATTTATTTTCTGGAGCTTTCAAGCCAGCAAGAGTGTTATTGTCCCTTTAATAGTGTTAAATAATAAAATACCAAATTTTAATTAGGCTCTGTTAAGAATCCCCTTGTGTCTATTTTTAGATCACCAGACTATTTTGATGGAGAGAAATTTCAAAAGGAGTTTGAAAGGTGGCACAAGGGAGATAACCCCATTCTACGAAAGTTCTCTAAGGGTAATTTTGTCTGCCAGGTTGTTACTTTTCCCAAATTTTCGTTGGCCTCAAGGCTCGTCACCACAGACTGAGTAACATCTGGCCAGGTCTTGCTCCAAAGCGTAGACCATTAAGAAACACAAATTTGAATTAGCAAACTAAAACTAGTAAACATGTAACCATTTGCCATGCTGGTGTATCTCAATTTTGCAATAAATTACCTGCATTTAATCTTGTGTGTGGTAGTCTGTTGGAATCATATGTTCCTGGTCCTACAACTGCTGGGGTACTTCCGCAGAGGGTACCAATAACTCTCTCTGCTCTATCATACATTTTCTCATTAATCGAAAGAACTATAGGGCCTATCTGCTAATCTTGAAATAAATAAAACGAAAAACACACTGTAAGTTTCTGTCTAACAATTTATATTCTTCAACCTGAATAGGCCTACCTACTTCTTTCTGACAGCTTATAATTTATTGTTGTTGACAATCATCCTGGCAAAATAATTTGTGCACACCATACCAATTCCTTGTCTTTGAGATGCCCTATTTGAAGACTATGTGCCATGTGGCAGTCAAACAAGTACTAATTTGGGGTGTTAGTTATTCACAGTAATTGTAAATGATGAATTAAACAAGTAAATTTAAACTAATTCTGCCATATTTTGATTAAGTCAAGCGAGATAATCTGTGATTAATTGACAGATCTGTGATAAAAAGTAAAACTGGATGAAAAATGTGAACTCTAATCAGCTTTAAGACTCTATAATGGTACCTGACTACCGTAACGGTAAGGGTTTCTGAGTTTGTAAAATCTTGCCGGTCAAGAAATATTTTCGTAAAAATTCCTTCATCGGAATTCGCAGGAAACAATTCCACAATCCCAGGAAACAATGCACAGCATTATGGCATTCATATAATAAATTAGATCAATCTTTTTGATTAGGTCTGTCAGTACTGAAACACTTAATCTTGTTGATTAATGCATGATCGAGAGACTGTCAAATTTAGGGTGCCCTTACAAGAAGTAAGGTACTGACACAACTGTGAATTAACAGAGCTTTTGAGCTGAGCCTGCGATGTGGTACAGAATGGTACCCCAGGTAGGCCTACTTGTCTGTAGTACTAGCACTGTTACCAACAACAATCCCTTTAGAAATAGTAACCCTTTTCAATTGATCTTTTTACAAGCTTACTTATGTGGTTAGCGAGATAGTTCCTTTTGGAAGTTTTGTCTCTGGTTCTGATAGGACGAAGTTCTCTAATCGTCCTTATAACTTATATCGATGCAATAAAACATTATTCATGAAAATACCGCTCTATCCCATTCGGTCCGTTCAGAGACCCTTCCAAAAGGAAATTTAAGCGAGACTGATCTCATACACTAATGTTGTTTTCTACACATCGAGTTGGTCGAGGAAATGGTTAGTCCTTTTGTTCCTGGAACAAGTTCCTGGAAGACTTTCCTGACATCATGTGACGTGTTGTTATGTGTTAGATAATTGAAATGTTTGCTAATGACCAGGGCCCTGTTTCACGAAATTTTAACTAAAGATAAAATCCAAATTTTAGTAGATACTTCAATTTTGATTGGCTAAGCACTAAAAATAAAATCAATCTAATATTATCCAATCAAATTACTAAAATTTGGATTTTATCTATTCTTATCTTAGTTAAAATTTCGTGAAACAGGCCCCAGAACGGCACCCCCCAAGTTCCGAATGTAATATTGACATTACTTATTAACAATGAAACAATAACTACTTATATAGGCTAGAGCCTAGTAGTAGCAGTAGGCCTACTCAGTGATAATTTAATAGTTAGGGGCCTAGTACTGGTTAGTACTAGTACTCAGTAGTAGCCCTCCTTGTCATATTTCTGCATAAACAAGCATTAAAAATAAAGCAAAATTGCAATTTGTAAACAAGCTGTGGAGACAATTGTAGCTGTTACTCCTATATTTTTACATAATATATCTACTTACGTACTGTACAAAAGCTTTAAGAAGTTGAAAAACAACGAATTTTCAATTTATTTACATATTATTACCAGTAATAATAGAGCGACAGCAAACTAACGTCCATTCTAAAAGGCGTCCTAGTTACCATGGTAAACATGGAGGACACTCAAACGCAACTCTAGATTTAGCCTCTGTTACCCAGACCTTCGCTGTGTTCGGCCATGAGCCTGCACAATTGTCAATATTCGAATATTAACCATACATGAAATAAAATGGGGTTTAAACGCCTTATTAGGGAATATTTGCCCGGACAACGGCCAACTTTCCTTCGTATGAATATTCCACCTGCCAAATATTCTTCAAATACGTACGCGACAACAGATTTTTGTACAATCCGAACGACTATAGACACTGTAGTAGCAGAACTTCAAATCAAAATTATAAAAATAGCAGAAATAACCAGCAACAAACAGTTAGCTTAACTCCAGAGACATGAAAGTTGAAAAAAATAATAACAGGAGAGACTGGGCCTCCAAATACCTATAGCCAAATTATGTTTTAGATAACACTTAAGAACTGTAAATAACATGGACAGTTTTAAACGCATTTATAAAAGAAGAACATATTAAATATTTAAAAAAAAAACCGTTATTTTAAAGTTATGGAATTTTATTCCTCTAACTAAGGGGTTGTTACATAATTGGAATATACACAGGGTGTGACTTTTCATCGCCGACGACCGACGACAGTTTTTTTTAACACGCCGACGCCAAATTAAGAACAACCTTCATTAAGAATTAATATATTTAATAGCATACATAAACAATTAAATATACAATTATTATGATCATCGCATCACAAAAATAGAAAGTACATAAACATATCATATCGGCAGATAACTAAATATGTAAAATATAAATAAATGTATTATTGTATTTTCCTGCTGGGAAATATATCATTTTTTTATCGAGATTGTTATTACTATGTCGTGATAAACAGCTTCTCGATGGTCATCAGCGGTAAAAAGTCATAACGATATACACATACACAGAAGAAGGGATGGAGAATTTGTTATAGGGCTTTACAACCTGATAAATATACTTTTGCACGTTTTGATGTATGCAGATTTCATACCTTCAGAATTTTGACACTATTTCGACATATATTAATAATATATTGGAAACTCGATCCGTGGTGAGATAATTTTGGCGTCGACAAATGAGGTTTAATGTCCACTTGACAAAGCAAAGGGGAAGTTCTATCAAAATACACACTATGGTTTTTTTTATTCTGCAGATCTTATTTCATTGTGTTTTATCTTACACGGTTCAAAACATGCATGATCGCTATAGACTATGATCGCACCCGTAAACTTACGCTCTCTGTCTGCAATAATTAGCTGATTATTAGTATTACCTGATAACGACGTTTTAATTCCTAAATCAACGATTTCAGTAGAAAACACTAAGTTAGTATACTGTATATACTTTGAGAATTTTGAGAAGTAGACTATTTATTCTGCTTCCAATTAATGAAATTGAAACTGTTTTGTTAGTGTGTATGACAGGTGGGAAAAGGAGTAGTACCGCATTACAAAATTAATATACTAATAATCGTTGGATAATATGGCGGCCATTCAGGGCAGAGATCTATTTCCAAAGTAGATAGTTCTATGTGTGCAGAACAGATCGCAGCGCCTCATTCAACGTCACGTGACAAGCAGTAATGGCGGCGCCCATGAACATGGTTACAGAAATCTCTATCAAATATTTATATTAGAAGCGATTATTGAATTGCCAGATTGTTCAAACCTTTGTTCACTGCTCGTGCAATCGCCCACAGGTAGGTAGGAGACACATTTTTCGACCACGACACTGACGGCAGGGGCTCTGATGTTGTCGAGTTACAACTTGAACTTGACGACGTTATTCACTTATTAATATTGTTATTAATTTTTGATTATATAATAAATAATATAGCGTACGGTAATGGCGTATTTCCCGCAGTCGGAGATATAAATGACACTGACTGGATTTCCTATCAAAGGATACGTACCGTGCAGCTAGATTACTGATTAGGGACCTCATCTCTAAACCCTCTGTATTTCGAGAGGGTCGCCTGTCCAACTGCCGAGACCCCAACACAGAACCAGAGTGAAATGTTGAAATGAAAGGTTAAACACCATCGATAGAGCTAGAGTAAGAATATAATACTTTCTTACTACGGGTATTGTTTCATCTAGCATTATCCCAGTGACATTCAATACAAGCTAGATTCAATGGGATTAAATAGAGGCCCATCAAAAGATTGTAGCCAAGATTACAGGTGACGTTGGCTTTTGACCAGATCCAGTTTGGGGATGCTGAATATTGACAAATTTTCAATACATCATACCTGAATGGAATTGAACAATTTTTGGACTAGTATTTCTTTTAGAGATCAAACTTTCACAATATTGTAGTTTGCAAGGGTTTCTTCTATACCACAAAGGCCATTCAGAGGCTTTATTATAATAGGCTGCATATTATTAGCCTATATTTCTGAAATTTATGTTGGTTCAGTCGTATTGAAAAGAAGATTCATATTGATTTATAGCAAGTTTTGATAATAACTTCAATCATTATTTCCCTTTACAACTAAATATTGTCAGCCATTTAGAGGCGTTAATTATGATCTGATTTAGCTCACAACTGCTCGAACAGTTAGCTGTTTTATTAGCTGGCAATGGGTTGTAAACTACAAACCCATGTTTTCTAATTCTTTTCCATATAGTAGAGCTGTGTTCATAAACTCAGGATATTAAAGTGTGCAAGCGCCGGTTAAGAATGGCAACAGACTCAAAATATAAAGAACTACATGTTATAACTGGAGGAGGCGGGTATCCAGGTTTTTGTCTTGGTAAAGAGTTAATCAAACGAGGACATAGAGTTAGATTGATTGATATTCGTGAACCTATCTGGGATCTTTTGGATGGAATGGAATTTGTAAAGGTGATCAGTATTATCTAACTTACATGTATCTATATTTGAAAGAATATAAGCACATTTTATCAAGTAAAACCATTATGCGGTTCCATTTTATTGTCTAATTAATGCACTTTTTCGGACAAAAAATTGTTTGTATTTAGAATTAGATACTGTTTTACATTCAGCTAATATGAAAAATGTTTTTGTCATTTTGTGTTGTAAAATACTATTGGTTTGAATGTATTAATGAAAGTATATATATTTATTGTTATAGAGTGGTATACCAGTAATTTTTTCTCTCTTGTATACTAGGGTGATATACGACAAATGACAGATATCAACACAGCATTTTTAGGAGCTGATATTGTTTATCACTTGGCATCATTTGGTATGTCAGGTAGAGATCAGGTTAGAACTACATGAAATTAAATCGACACCAAATTCTGATTTATTATTGAGAATATTATGTATGCATTGCGGTATCTATTTTCTTATGTCTTGGATAACATAGTTAGGTATATGTAGTTGAACTTTCCCCAAGAAATTATTGAAACTATTTTTGGTAAATGAGTTGCAAATAATAAGTGATTTAGGTTTATTTTAATTTCAGTTATATTTTATGGTAATTAATTTTCTATTTTCCCATATTTTATAGTTAAATAAAAAGCTTATTGAAGAAATCAACATCGGTGGAACAACAAATGTTATTGAAGGTAGTATATTGTGTCAACTGACCACTTGTATCAAGGTTCGGAAATGATGTGTTTTGTGTGTCCCCACTACCCCTTTCTGCACTACAAATATTTAGTTAAATATAACTTTACAGTGTTTTTCAACAAGGCAAATGATGTATCCACTCTAGGAATATATCTACATGTACATCTAATTGTACTGTATTGTTTCGGAGGTTGAGGGTCCAAATTGGTTAACATATATGCTTTAGATTAAAAAGGTCTGCCATTGAGTTAAATGACATGGTTTTGATTCCCCGCTTGTACATGGGTTGCATGTCCAGCCTTGTGGGTATTTCTCTGGGGCCTCCGTTTTTTCCCACTGGTAAAGAATCCTATGTGCAAGCAAATTATAGTAATAAAATTGAAACATGTACATGTAGCTTGAAATGACTTAATTTATGTCGAGTGGACATTAAACCCCATTTCTCCCTCTCACTAGATTGTTTGTTTTGTCTGTAAAGAGATAAAGGAGATTGGTTGCTTTTGAAATAATATATAAATACTTGTTTTATAGGATGTTATGATAACAATATAGAACGTCTAGTATTTACCAGTACCTATAATGTAGTGTATGGTGGCACAGAAATTATAAACGGCGATGAAAGTTTACCCTATCTACAAGATGATAAGGTATAGATTTTGATTTTACAATAACTACAAGGAAATGAAATGAAATGGAGTTTTAACTTCCTACTGTTCTGCTCCGAACTGGGCTAATGAAGACGGGCATACACCATACAGTGCGCTATGAGGGAAATTTTGCCCGGACAGCGGCACTATGGTCTACTCTTATATTGAATTCCAACTCTCAAGGGATCTTTTACTTGAACGCCAATGTGTACATGGGACCTCGGTTTTTCGTCCCATCTGAACGACTAAACTACAAGGAACTATGTCAAGTGAATAAATGAGATGCCATGTATGGTACTATAAATGGAGTAGCTGCTTAGAGTTTTTGGATAAAAACATCCTAATAAATACTGCACCAAACACAAAATAAATAGCACCATTAAATACCTTGTAAAAACTGGTTATTACATCAGTCCTTCATGTTTATAAAATTGTGCGGGTGCCATAAAAAGCTTCTGATACCTTGAATGTATGCAGTTTAAAAGTAAACAAAAACTGAAAGTAGTTTATTAATATCAATATTTAGGAGAGCGATTTAGCTAATTTGCAGGAGTCTTTAATGACTCCTTCGAAAGAAAGCTGACGTGCGTCGAGAGGAGCAGGAGCAAAAGCTCCCCTTAAACGTGAAGGACTGCTACATGTATGATGTGATTTTAAGATTTATAAGTTTAAAGGTATGGTTTCCTATAACACACAAACTTTCTCAGTAGAATATGTTTTTACTTTGGTCTAAGTAACTGAAAGGAGTAGCAAATTAGAAGTATAAACATAACCAAATCATCGAGGATCCTGTTTTACAAACACATAAGTTGAACATTTTGCGATACATTTTATTGAACTTGGATACATGTACATGTAATTATATTTACTTACTTATTGTATCGTATTTGCAATAAATTATCTTTATTGACATGAGGGTGTTCAGTTGCCCAGCGATTGATGATGTTATACTGTAGATCTGTTACCGAAGTGATTGTAGGATCAATCCTACCATTGTTTGTGAGAAGGACTATGGTCGTATGCCTAACTATTTCTGTCAGGCTCCCACGGCCTGCAAGTGAAAATTTATCATATTGTTTCCAAAGCAACGACTGCAAGTTTCACAACATCTGGCCGTTGCTTGTTTACTTCACAATTCCCAAACTTATAGCTATGTTATCTACAGACACGTGAGCAGTAGCGTCCAATCAGAGATTGTGACATCGCGACCTTGATGGAAACCTTGACATTGAATGAACCTTGAACTTTGCAACTCGATTATCACAGGTAGACATTTTAGCTTGAAACACCAAGACTTGGTATTTGCGACGATCGAGGAATCTGATGGGCTCACAAGTTGGGCTTGTACCCAATAGAAATTAGTGCCGAAATATGTAGGGTATTACGTGAAGGCCTTGATAAGATGTACATAGTTAAAGAGAGATCAAGCCTTCTATTGAAGATGATTGTGGAGTGGACACCATTTCACTTAGGTACTTATATTAATATTTATTTTAGTTTACAGATCATTATTCTAAGACGAAAAGATTAGCAGAAGAGAAGATAATGTCTGTGAATGATACAGAAACTAAAGATGGTAAGAAGTTATATTGTTGTGCATTAAGATTAGCTGGTGTATACGGTCCAGGAGAACAAAGACATATACCTAGAATTGTGGTAATTATATTTCAATAAATCAATGCACCAAGTAGTATTACATCAAAATTTATTAGTTCGGTTATTTCCATTGTTTGAAAACATCTTATAAAGATATGAATTGTACTGAAGATACGATAAAAAGGCTATATCTAGAACAAAATAGATGGACATTCTACAATATAACTTGCATCCAAAAGCAGTATGTTGTTAGCAAAGATTATTTGTAAGAGTTATAAAAATTGTTATTTATAATTAAGAAGATAAGTTGTAGGTTAAGCCTAGCTTACAATCCGCCGTCATAGAGTTTGTTAGCTCGCAGACTAGTCGAAAGAAACCGGGGGAAAATTTGTATGTGCAGGGCCAAAAGTCGCTATGATCAGTCTGCGATCTTCTATGGTGCCGTACACACGCAAGTGATGCGAAATTCTCACACGCGAATTTACTAAAATTTCCCCTGTATACTGCTCGTAGTAACATATACTACGGGTTGTTAGCTAGGCTTCAGATAATCTTTTGCCATTGATGTAAGTGGATTAAGTTCAACTCATTGGAGTCTTTGAATATATTTTGGAATATTGGGCTGGGCCTTAGAATCCGTCAATCATTTTAAATTAGCCATAATACAGTGAACCCTGGCGTACAGTGGTAAAAAAAATTGGTCAAGAGTTTTTAAGTTGTATTTAATATTATATATGATTCTTTATTTGTCACTTATTTTACAATTTTCAGTCTTTACTAGAACAAGGTGTAGTCAAGTTTATTTATGGAGCAGCAGATTCACGAGTTGATTTTTTACATGTTGATAATTTAGCACAATGTCATGCTTTAGCTGGGGAAGCGTTAACAAAATCTAAACATTATAAAGCGGTAAGTTTCTTTTCTGTATTTGTTTCTGGTTTATTGTGAAAAAAAATTCTTACCTTGGATGTAAGCAGCATGATACAAGAGTTATTCCCCTTGACACATGTTTTGAAAATTATTTTGGGAAAGAATTTGCAATAGAGGTGTTCACTCAATCTGTTTCACAGAGCATTACGATAGTCTTCTAATATCTCTGTAAAAGATGACTTCCTTCAACACATGACGTCATATCACGCGGCATCAATCATTGGCTCAATGGCGCGTGCATTGTTTACATAAGACGTTACTGATTCGAGCAGAATGGCACCTTTTACTCATTTTAATACCCATTTACACTAAAATAGGAAATAATTTTTACCTACAAATACTTCGAACGCCTTTATTTATTTTTCTAATACATTAAAAAAAATGTTTAAGAATTTAATTTGTCGGAGGAAAAAAGTTAATATTTGGGGCTTATTAAGTCGCATCGATGTCATCCTTATCAGTTATTGTCGCCGCCTAGCGAATATTCACTGCGGATCAGTGTGGTGTTCACTGGGTACCATAATGGACTTATAAATCAGACATATATATTTTACTCAACAGGCAGGTCAAGTTTATTTTGTATCAGATGGAAAACCAATCAACAATTTTGAATTTTTCAGACCTTTGGTAAGTAGAAATATTTACAGTTTAGATGACCGGATGGGAAATTTCTTTGTTTTAGTTGGTTTAACACCTGAACAAAATAACATTTACTATTCCCTGAACACCCAAATCTGAACTAATTCTTACAGGTGATGGTAGAGGAAGTGTAGTTTAAACACAGGACTCACTGCTAGAATCTTATAGGATTAAATCCTGGCGTAGGCCAATAAGAATCTTCAGACAGATTTCATTTTTCATGGGTAACATCTGGCTGACCTTTGTAACTAACATCCATGATTTTATTGTTAAGATTATGGATATTTGCACAATGGGATGGGGAGATTTTGCCCAGAATTTTAATGGACTTTTGCAATCACTACCAATTTGTAAATTGGACCTCTGATTTTCCTTCTTTGTCAGCCCTGCAGGTGTTACCAATGACTGGGGGAAACCCTGTTTACATGTATATTTATATCTACTTTAATATATATATTATACTGTTTACGAAGATGCATTCAAGTATTTTTTATTTATTTATGCATTTATCTACCATAAACAAAGAAGTACTTGTACTTTATCTACTTTAATATATTTATTATTATATTTACAGTTTGAAGGTTTAGGATATTCATATCCTTCTATACGTCTACCATTTGTTCTTATATTTTATTGTGGTAAGTTGACTATATAGTTACTTTGAATTTAATTTATTGTTATTTATTACAACAGATAAATTTAGTTTGTTAAAATGTATGTAATAGATAAATTTAGTTAATTATAATATACTGAATAGATAAATTTAGTTTATTTTATGTACTGAATAGATAAATTTAGTTTGTTAAAATGTACGTAATAGATAAATTTAGTTAATTAATTGTAATATACTGAATAGATAAATTTAGTTTGTTTTATTTACTGAATAGATAAATTTAGTTTGTTAAAATGTACGTAATACATAAATTTAGTTAATTATAATGTACTGAATAGATAAATTTAGTTTATTTTATGTACTGAATAGATAAATTTAGTTTATTATAATGTACTGAATAGATAAATTTAGTTTATTATAATTTACTGACTAGATAAATTTAGTTAATTATAATGTACTGAATAGGTAGATTTAGTTTATTATAATTTACTGAATAGATAAATTTAGTTATTATTATGTACTGAATAGATAAAGTTAGTTTATTATTATTTATAAAATTTAATTTATGATAATTTACTGAATAGATAAATTTAGTTTATTATAATTTACTGAATAGATAAATCATGAAAATATTGTTCTTTGTCAGTGTAAATATGGTTATATTTGGTAATGGGACACCTTCAACACCCATCTATAAATACAATGCCCTCTTTAGGGATGTATAGAAGCAAAAAGAACAAACAAGCTAATAGCCCATAATTAGTATCTAATTGTGGCAAAATTAGTTAAATACATAGCTTTTACTCATTACTATCCATAATATTCGATATTAAAGACACAAATCAATAGTTATGTTGTTATCTTGCACCTGATATATCCAATACATGTATTTAAGACACAACAATTTAAAAACATTTCCCAGACTTTATGTTATTATGGACCTGAGTGGAATTTGTAAATCAGTTTATATACATTCATATTACATTAACATGTGCTTTTTGATCCACTATCAGGGCCGGCGGAAGCAATTCTTGATTGGGGGGGCTTCCATCCTAGGTCCTTATAGGCGTGGTTCCAGGGGTCGTAATAACCTGAAGAAAAGACTACTTGCAGCCGGGCCTGACTATCGTTATTTTAAGGTTTCAAAAAATAGAGCTGTATGATCTCTGATAAGCTGATAAAGCTTCAGCATTTTTCGAGCTCCCAAATGAAAAAGCTTGTATGGGCTAATCTATGTTTATGGTTAGTCTGCTATGAGCATAGGAATCAGTTATTAATTACATTAATAATGCATTTTTATCTTCTGTTTGGTGTATTTTAGCTTTTGTGATTGAAATTATTCATTCAGTGGTAGGGAAGATATATAATTTCCAGCCCTTGTTAACAAGAACAGAGGTATGATTAATCTTCATGTCCGTTAAAATAAAATAGATGAATATCAGAATAACAAAGTAGTATTCTGTATTTGAAAATATCACAGTTGGAACTACTATGATTCTAACACGACCTTCCAATTATTTCACTGTTAGTATATTTACCTGGTTAAAATACTTGTTTTCATTTTCATGGATCATTAAATAAATTTGAAGATAATTCACCACAATATACACAGCTGCATATATCAATACTTACAATTTGATTACTGAAAAAGGTCATGCGATCTGAGTGCTGACTTCAGAGAAAAGAATTCACAGGAAACGAAACATAAGATCTGATTTGAATCAATCAAATGTCTTTTGTCGCCACTGAAATATTAAATTTTTGATTTTTATTATTTATTTTTACTTTAGGTGTATAAAACTGGTGTAACACATTATTTTAGTATCAAAAAAGCCCAAGATGAACTAGGTTACTCTCCGACCAAACAAAACGATCTCTCCGAAGTGGTCCAACTTTATCGTCAAATGGGACGTGTAAAATCAAATCGCAAAAGTTATTTTTCTGTCAGTGGTTTAATTTTGAATGTTGTGTTATTTATTGTGATATTTTCAATGATAATGTCTTATTTACCATATGTTAAATGATTAAAGTATATTTTTAGATAAATGATTGTTTTATTGCTATTTAATAGAGAGAAGACAGAAATGGGGTTTAATGTCCACTCGACACAAACTAGGTCATTTCGGGACCCACATATGGTTCAATTTTATTTCCATAATTCGCTTGCGCATATGGGTCTTTAGCAGTGGGAGGACCCGGAGAAAACCCACGAGGTTTAACAGGCGACCCTACTCCTTGTCACGTACAACCGGTGAATCGAAACCATGCCAGTTGACTCAATGACAGACTTTACGATACAGCACGCACATGCTAACCATTCAGCCATCCAACCCCCCCTGCTATTTAATAACAAAGAGATAAAATGGAATTAAAACAATAGAAATGGTTTTTAAAAGATAGGTTGCTGAAATTCAAAAGGATTCTTCATTTTACTGATCTAAATAAGGCATGTTAATCTCATACAGATCGGATGATAACCTTTGTCGATAAAGCATTCACATGGTTCAACAAAGTGAAACAAGGCCCATAACGGAAATTGCTGAATATTTAAATATTTGGTTGAATTAAACAAAGTCTGTTGCTTTTATTTTTGAAGAAAAACTTTATTCTGAAAGTAATATGGTAACTACTTACATCACAATAATTAATATAACCAATTTGTTTGTATTAATGATATATTATATACATGAACACGTTGATTACTGTAACATGTTACAGATATAAGTAAAACAAACAGTCTTCAATCCCCTAAAAACAATGATAAATCTGTTGTACTAATACTAAATAACAAATTGTTAGTATTGTTCTATCCTTTATAGCAATCATTTACCCATTTCATACAACTCTCACATGTATAAGATACATTATACTATATGTTGAAGTTTCTATCAATTCATGTGATTTATTTATTCCTTCACATTTATCCAGAATATGGTGGATCTAATAACTATATTTTCACTGTACATAACATCATTATTTGTAGAAATTTGTACCCTAGGGTACTATAAAAACCAACTTGTACATTTAAACCTGATCTGGTATATATATATAGTACTTATTGTCAAACTATCATCTGAAATGAGTAAAGCATTATGCATGTTGGAAATGTATACACATACACTAAGTCAATAATTTATTGCTGACATTTTATTAACTGAAGCAGAGGGTTATTCAGTTTTGACAAACAACATCACACGTAAATCATGCCTTAAAAAGCATGTTGTGACTTAGTTTAGACTCCTAGAGACCTCTACATTTTACTTAGAGCAGAGGGTTATTAAGTTTTGACAAAAAACATCACACAATTAAATCATGCCTAAAAAAATATGTTGTGACTTAGTTAAGACTTCTAAAGACCTCTACATTTTACTTACAGCCGAGGGTTATTCAGTTTTGACAAACCACACCTCGCAAGTAAGTCTTGCCTTAGAAAGCAATGTTGTGACTTAGTTTAGACTCCTAGAGATCTGTACATCACAATGTCAAGATATTGACATATTTCTGAGCTAGATCACTCAAATAGTGTCAATTTTTACTCCAGTGTTATATGTCAAACTACCTTGAAAATACAAAGCAGGTGCATTCTATAAAATATATAGATTTGTTTCGTTATTGAGGCCATAATAAAACTAACAATATACAACCACATGAATATTCATGTATTTGTACAAAGATAGCGTCCATACTACACAAAATAGTAATCTTCATGAGATTTGAATGACAAGTTATAGTACGACAATAGTCCATACAATATCACCGATACAAACACTTTATAATTTACTGACAAAGTTTTTTTTAAAAAAAGACAAGTACCCTTATAATATTTTCAGAAAAATAATAAATATATTACTACTAGGTTTACCTACATGCTTTTAAACATACATTATGCAAGAGCTAAATCTGCCAATTGCGGGTCTTTCTTATTGTCTGAAATGTTATGTAAACTATTAATTCTACTTTAATTAACATGATCAGACTATAATCAACTCTCGATGTCATCGAATATCTCCGATATTAGGTAGATTAGAACGGGTCAGCCATTTGATTTAATCTAAAAATGGTGAAGCGAGGCTAAGCTTCGAACAACCAGTGTGATGGGTTGCAATTAATGCACACCTCTATTCAAACCTTCGAAAGCTAATATCTTCGCTCGCAATGGAGCAATTTGAATGAAATTTTCAATAAATTAATTTTGCATTATCTATTTTCGAACTATTATAGTAAGAATGGCCAGCTCTTAATCTAAATCTTACATAATGTATCTATAAATTTGCGACCTTTACATACATTTAATACATTATTAAAAAAAAAGATAGGTTGCCAGGCAACGAAATATACGCCCACAGCAACTAAATCGTACGGGCAGTCAACAAGGGTTGTCGCATATTTTTACTTTTTTCGGTAATGAAACATTTATAATACACTGAAATCTGATTAAGAGCAACAACTCACGAAGTAATTATCAGAAAACTATTAGAATTTGTTTGGTTTTTATAAAGTTCTGCCCCATGCTAACGTTTTGTATGCAAAGCTTTTAATATCATAGATTTAACTGTTCAAGTCATAAAAATTCATTGAAAATCAATATACTTGTTCGTCTCAAGATCTTAAACTCTGTGTATCAATCTGAAGTCAATCGGATGATAACTTAAGGGCCATAACTTTGGCAGTAATTATCGGAAATCGTTGAAAATCAATAGGAATCTTCGTCTCATGACCTCAAACACTGTGTATAAATTTAAACTCAATCGGGTATTAACTTGAGCCTCAAGAGCATCCACAAGATTTTTTGAAGTGATCAAGGGCCATAACTCTGGCAGTAATTATTGGAAATCGCTGAAAAATCAATAGGCTTCTTCGTCTCATGACCTTAAACACTGTGTATAAATTGAAAGTCAATCGGATATTAACTTTGGCCTCCAGAGCATCCACAAGATTTTTCAAAGTGATCAAGGGCCATAACTCTGGCAGCAAATATTGGAAATCGCTGAAAATCAATAGGCTTCTTCGTCTCATGACCTTAAACACTGTGTATAAATTTAAAGTCAATCGAATATTAACTTTCGCTTCTAGAGCATCCACAAGATTTTTCAGAGTGATCAAGGGCCATAACTCTGGCAGTAATTATCAGAAATCGCTGAAAACCAATAGGCTTCATCATCTTATGACCTTAAACACTGTATAAATTTAATGTCAATCGGATGTTAACTTTAGCCTCTAGAACATCCACAAGATTTTTTGAAGTGATCAAGGGCCATAACTTTGGCAGTAATTATCGGAAATCGTTGAAAATCAATAAGTTTCTTCGTCTCATGACCTTAAACATTGTGTATAAATTTAACGTCAATCGGATATTAACTTTGGCCATTAGAGCATCCACAAGATTTTTTGAAGTGATCAAGGGCCATAACTCTGGCAGTAATTATCGAAAATCGCTGAAAATCAATAGGCTTCTTCGTCTCATGACCTTAAACACTGTGTATAAATTTAAAGTCAATCGGATATTAACTTTGGCCTTTAGAGCTTCCACAAGATTTTTTGAAGTGATCAAGAGCCATAACTCTGGCAGTAATTATCGGAAATCGTTGAAAATCAATAGGCTTCTTCGTCTCATGACCTCAAACACTGTGTATAAATTTAAGGTCAATTGGATATTAACTTTGGCCTCTAGAGCGTCCACAAGATTTTTCAAAGTGATCAAGGGCCATAACTCTGGCAGTAATTATCGGAAATCGCTGAAAATCAATAGGCTTCTCGTCTCAAGACCTTAAACGCTGTGTATAAATTTAAAGTCAATCAGATATTAAATTTAGCCTCTAGAGCGTCCACAAGCAATTGTGGACGACGGACGGACGGACGGACGGAGGCGACGACAATATACGACCACATTTCAATGTGGGCGTATAAAAAATCAATATTTTAACATGAACAATGTCATGTTTCTTAATATGTAAACTATTGCCACATTGTATCATTTATGGACGTATCAAATTGTCAACATTTAACTAAAAAATAATTGAAATCCAGAGAGCTATTAAATTGGTATTTTTACAGGCTTCAATATACTGTTGGGTTCAATATTGTATCATATTATACATGTATGTTATAGTTTATACAGTTTCTCAACGTTTGACAGAACTGTTGAAGATTCAATGACTGAAGTTGAAGATATGAAAATATTTATTTAAATATACTGTAGAGCAAGAAAATTGTACATCTATGAAGAGAGAGAGAAATCCACTGACACAAACTAGGTCATTTTGGGACTAACACATGGTTCAATTTTATTTCAATAATTCACTTGTGCGTAAAGTCTTTAGCAGTGGAAGGAAACCGGAGGACCCGAAGAAAACCCATGAGGTTAGACAGGTGACCCCCTACTCCTTGTCACGTACAACTGGGGAATCGAAACCCTGCCAGTTGACTCAATGACAGACCTTATGCTACAGCGCGCACATGCTAACCATTTAGCCATCCGTCCCCCCACGCCCCAATCAATGAGGAGAATGTCCCTAGCATTACATTTCACGTTCAAATATCAGAATGAATTTTCAACTTGAGTTACAACCCCTGTGAGCATGTCAAAATGGCCACCTTATTTTGATACAAAATGACTTTCACAATTAAAGAATACAACACTGATACAACTGGACTAATCACGGTAATTATCTTGCTTTACAGTACATTATCATTAATGGACTGCAGGCATGTAAACCTTACTCAAATATTTCACATATATTACAAAAGAAAACAATAATGTGCTAAAATATATTCAGTGCTGACATATGTTGGTCATCATACAAATCATGTGTAAGTTATTATTAGGGTATCAAAGTCAGAATAATAACATCATCATACACGTATATAAAACATAGTATTATATAATATAAACTTTGGCAATTTTCTTTGAGTAGTGATACAGTTTGTCGACAAAAGATCAAATTTAATAAAGTAGCCTAAACTTAAAGATGCATTATGCAAGAGCTAAATCTGCTTTTTGCAGGTCTTTCTTTAGGCCTTAAATGTTATCAAAATCTGCCTATTGCAGGTCTTTCTTTAGGCCTTAAATGTTATATTAATTATTAATTAAACATTAATTAGCTTATTAAGACCAAAATCAACCCTCGATGCCATGTTAGCCTGCAATATTTAGTGGATTTGAATACCTTTTATGACGGATGATTTAACGTTAAAAATGCATAACCAAGACTTTGTTTATTATCGTAATGACGTTCGAGACTAGCCTAAAAGTGAATCGCTAATATCTTGGTTCAGAGTAAAGCAATTTGACTGAAATTTCCTGCACATTCTGTTTTCATTATCTATTTTTTTTAACTATTTAGAACTGTCAGCTCTGTATCTTATCTTACCTAATGTATCTTTAAATAAGTAAAAAACCTAATTGGATTACATGCACTACACTGTTCTCTACTTTATGTGAAATTTACATGCAACCCTAGTCCACTTTATGTAAAAAAAACTAATTGGATTACATGCACTACACTGTTCTGTACTTTATGTGAAATTTACATGCAACCCTAGTCCACTTTATGTAAAATTAAAATATTACACTGTTCAAATTATTCTATATGAATGGATCGTTATTATATTCGATGCTATTTTAAATATGACTTGTGAAACCTTAATTGACTGCAATGAATAATGAGTCAATCTGATTAAAATACAGATCTATATTTCGTTTCGTTTTTTATACTTTCGATGGCCTACACTACATGAAGATCTGACCCGTTGTAGCGATAGGTCGTGTCAGAGGTCATACAAGCAGCTTTTGACCTATGATGTCAGACATTTGATTAACCAAACAGCATTGATGTTACTAGTGGATTACCCACAGTTCCGTGAAAAACATGCCTAAAGCTCGCCGTAACAGACCGTTTCATTGGCTTATTCCTGACACCATTCAGAACACAAGTTAAATAACAACTCTTCCATATCCTAGTGTAGTACAGACAAGTAAAACGAAATTTTGAACTGTAAAAATGAAACGAAATAGGATCTGTGTATTAATCAGATTGACTGCAATGAATAATGAGTTCTTTTGTGCAACATTCTATCATAAAGGAATAAGATATGGATAGTCAATTTTCATCTTAGATAAAATATGATTGCGGATTATGGCCTTTTATACATTAAGGATGTGGACAATATGGCACACATCTAATAGAAGATACAGTTACACAAATACACTACTGTGGACATCAAATCCAATATGGAGGAAAGTTCGGAAAAGTAGTCTTTGAATGTGATAAAATCGAGATTCATACTTGGTATGGACTGGAAATAAAGACATAGCAGATCTAATGCCTAGTAAATATTGTATTCCTATTATAATTCCATACTATATCACTGTGAAGTTTTATGTCGTAAAGTTGTAATTATTCTGATGTCAATTTAACTGTTACAATCACAATGGAGAATATTGACAATATTGCAGCAGTGGATTTAACATATTACGTTACATGTAACACAATTCTCAAGACATTGCAATTTAATAGGCCTACCTAAAAGGGTATGCCAGTTTAAAAAAAATACTCTCCCTCTGTCGTTTTAATAATTTATTTATTTTATAAAATCAACCATATATAATTAAACTACTTGTAAATATATCCATCAACAAATAATAATAATCAACACTGCCCATCAATTCAATGATTTAACAACAACAACAACTTTTTGTCTCTATCTGTTCTTCTCTTGTTTTGTAAGCTGGTTTTGTTTGTGGGGTAGATTATTTTGAAACAAGGCCTGTAATCTTATATGACAGACATTTACATTTATACAAGATAATAAATTGTAAACCCGAAGAGAATACTGAGGCAGTCATTACGATAAGAGTTCAACTAATGGGCACCCAATTTGTTAATATTGCAGCTGATGGTTAAAAAACAAAGTTTGAGCTGAAACACTTTCACACTGACAACGATACATAGCTATTATATTGAGAAATATTCCTCTTTAAAATATCTCCACATGGACCTAAAACTCGTTCAAAGCGGGCTCGATCTAATTTAACACATTTTAATTGACTTCTGGCAACAACTGTAGCAGCTCTAGGTCTATCTAATAACAGGGCGATTTCACCTACAAAATCAAAACATATAAATGTTTAATAGATATGTGTAAATTATAGAGAATTTTGATGTTGAATTCATGAAATATTTAGCAAATAATCAATTCCATACTGCTCAAATAGTAAGCGAAGGGGGACTGCATCACACATAATTACAGAAAACAAAACTACGGACAAGACTCAATACGCAGAAATCACAAACAAACGCGCATATCAGATTAAGTATTGTTTAATGGTCAAGAGCAAGACATTAAGTAATATATTATAACAACAAGGGGGCGGTAGGCCCGAGTGTTTTTACAATATATTACGCATTGTTTTAAGCTCTAGACCATTAAACGTCTTAATATACAGACATACCGCACATGCTTTTACAGAGAAATACGTCACACGAGTCCAATATTTCACTAGTATAAATAATGTACGATTGGCAAGTTGCCCGTACAATTATTTAAATTAATGGTATGCCAACATCAAAGGGTGACGTCACATCTGTATTGTAAGTATCAATCCTAGTAAAGTCACTTACCAAAATAGTCTGATGTTCCTAATCTTCCAACTTCTACCGGTTCCTCATTTTCTGATCTTCTTTGTAACACAGCAGCACTTCCCTATAAATATTATAATAATTATATAATATATGTTAAAATAAAACTACAGATATTTATACCAGTGTAACATACTGCAGTATACTACAAATCAGATTTCAATTTTTTGACTTTATTATTCATATTTATCATTGATTAATTCTAAAACCTGTCAGTTCATAAATGGTAATGAATCCAAGTCAGGAGGTTTTTTTTACTGTTAATATTCTGATTTTGTTTTAATCAAATGTTAAATAATCAATTTGAGCATATTTAAACTGATTAGAACAAACATATAGGGCATTATTGACATTAGGGTAGTATAACATGTTATGATGTATACTGGTACCAGTATTTTATATCCAGTGTCATATTTCACCTAAGTAACAAGATTTAAAAGACCTAGTTGATATGCCATCAATTGAGACAAAATATTAAAATCCCACACTGGAAATTTATTTATATATACTGAGGCATAATGAAAATGCATAGGAGAGAGAGAGAGTGTACCATAGTCTCAATTATCAAGTAGGCCTATATATAATGTGTTCTATGCTGATGTTCTTCTGAGCAGATTCATTGTGAATACCAAAGACAGGAGGCCAAGGTGATGAAATCAATAACTCATGATGAGTGACTTAAATATTTACATGTATGTTATTTTCATGAGTCTGTTTAAATCTTAAAGAGAGAGAGAAAGAGAGGGGGGGGGGGTGTTAACATCCACTCGACACAAACTAGGTCATTTCAGGACTAACATGGTTCAATTTCATTTCAATAACTTGCTTGTGCGTAGGGGTCTTTAGCAGTGGGAGGAAACCTGAGGACCCAGAGAAAACCCACGAGGTTGGACAGGCGACCCACTCCTTGTCACATACAACCGGGGATTCGAAACCACGGCAATTGACTCAATGACGGGCCTTATGATACAGCACGCACGTGCTAACCATTCGGCCATCCAACCTTCCTAAATATATAATAGTCTAGTACATTAAACATACATTATGCAAGAGCTAAATCTGCCTATTGCAGGTCTTTCTTTAGGCCTGAAATGTTATCTAAATTATTAATTAGACATTAATTAACTTATCCAGACCATAATCAACTCTTGATGGCATCGCTAGCCTGCGATGTTTATAGGATTAGGTTCTAATTTCCTGTTCAACTTCCATTCATAATTTAATCATTAAATGAATAATCAAGACTAGGTTTTTTATCGTACCGACTTTAGTAATGATGATCGAGGCTAGGCCGAAAATTCAATCGCTAAAAACTTGGTTCAGAGTGGATCAATTTGACTATAATTTTCAGCAAATTCCCTTTACATTATCTAACTTTTAACTATTATAGTGAGAACTGCCAGCTCTTTATCTAATACTTTAATTATTACCTCTAAAATAATAAAAAAGTCTTCTCCTGGTTCACCCTGTTGTACTATGACTTGCCCTTCTTCAAACTGGACTGGTTCTAAAGCATCTGATACTGTAAGCCTTTCCCATTTATCAAGATTTTCTACAAGTTAAAAAAAGTAGAAATCCAACTCAATAAGATCATACATTAAAAAAAAAATATATATTACATGCTAATTGATGACATTGTATAAACAGGCAAGAAATCAAATTATCAAAAACTAAGATAAAATATTGTACTAAATTTCAGACTATATCAGCAAATATTTAATTTTTTTTTAAACCGTTAGGATTACGATATTAAAAAAAAGCTATTTATTTTTTTTTTTTAAACCATTAGGATTATGATATATAAAAAAGATATCAATCACATACATATAACAACTTCCATCATAAATTTTTATAAGTATGTTAGAATATCACCTGGTAAAATGTTTTCAGAGTGTTTTAAAGAGCAAGAATTTATCTTTATTTCTTTATGTTTTACATTTACTAATCATACTAATACTCACCCAAAATAGATACTTTTGTGAGGAATTCTTCATACATCTTTCGTTTTCGTATTGTGCTGCCCTGTAAAAAAAAATATAATTGTATATTACTTTTGTGAGAGAGAGAGAGAGAGAGAGAGGTCATTTCGGGACTAACATATGGTTTAATTTTATTTCAATAATTCGCTTGTATGTAGGGGTCTTTAGCAGTGGGAGGAAACTGGAGGACCCAAGGGAAACACATAAGGTACAACCGAGAGAGAGATGGGGTTTAAGTCCACTCAACCCAAACTAGGTCATTTCGGGACTAACATATGGTTTAATTTTATTTCAATAATTTGCTTGTATGTAGGGGTCTTTAGCAGTGGGAGGAAACTGGAGGACCCAAGGTAAACACATAAGGTACAACCGAGGAATTGAAACCACACCTGTTGACTGAATGACATACCTTATGATACAGCATGCATGTGCTAACCTCCGGCCATACAACCCTCCCTTTGTACAAAGGTATTTGACCAGGGCAGCAGTACTTCAAAGGTCATCTATATATAACATACGTGACTTGCTCTGGCAAAAGGATCCGCATGTTGCATTGTATTTCAGTACAGTGTATAGAAGTGCTGTGGGACGAAAATACATCACTTTATAATGTCTCTTGATTTATGTCCCAAAAGCTCAAAAAAGTTTTTGTCCCACAGCACTTCTATCTACTGTACTGAAATACGATACCATGCGAATCCTTTAGCCAGAGCGGGTCTCATACAGTCAATCCCTGCAGCATGGGTCATTAACGCATTTCTTGTAGATTGACAATGCCACATTAGAAAGAAGTTTGACAATTTACAAACAAAAACTGAAAGTAGTTTATTAATCTCCATATTTAGGAGAGCGATTTAGCTAATTTGCAGGAGTCTTTAATGACTCCTTCGAAGGAAAGCCGACGTGTGTCGAGAGGAGCAGGAGCGAAAGCTCCCCTTAAACGTGAAGGACTGCACTGGACAGACAGAAACTGTATTTAGTACAGTTGTTCATAGGTTTTATAATAAGCTACAAACCAGATTCTTTATTACAAGTTATATATATAGACTACTGTAACTGAGATCACAACCAGACAAAAGGATAAGCATGCTATTATAAAATTTAAATTGAAATAATTACCATAAGAATTCTTCTGTAACTATCACGATCAATACCCCATAATTTAACATCATTTTTGGCCTGCAATAAATAAATATAATTAATAGTTAAACATACATTATGCAAGAGCTAAATCTGTCTATTGCAGGTCTTTCTTTAGGCCTGAAATGTTATCTAAATTATTAATTAGACATTAATTAACCTAACAAGGCCATAATCAACTCTAGATGGCAGCGCTATCCTGCGATCTTTAGTGGATTGTAAGCCGATTTATTGCATAACTTTCCTTCTCGATTAAACGATTAAATGGATAATCGAGACTATGCTCTTTATCGTACTGACTTTAGTAATGATGACCAAGGCTTATGGGAATTTCAGTCACTTAGTTCTCGGTTCATCGTTGATCAATTTGAATGAAATTTTCACCAAATTGCCTTTACATTATCTAGTTTTTAACTATTATAGTGAGAACTGCCAACTCGTTACCGAATCTCCCATAATGTATCCTTAAAGGTTTTAATATAAAAATAATTTTTATTACATAGTTTAGAGTATGAAAGTTAAAGGTTTTAATTTAACAATAATTTTTATTACATAGTTTAGAATATGAAAGTTAAAGGTTTTAATTTAACAATAATTTTTATTACATAGTTTAGAATATGAAAGTTAAAGGTTTTAATTTAACAATAATTTTTATTACATAGTTTAGAATATGAAAGTTAAAGGTTTTAATTTAACAATAATTTTTATGGCATAGTTTAGAATATGAAAGTTAAAGGTTTTAATTTAACAATAATTTTTATTACATAGTTTAGAATATGAAAGTTAAAGGTTTTAATTTAACAATAATTTTTATTACATAGTTTAGAATATGAAAGTTTATTTACTATTGGTGATAGAAGTTATTATATTTTTCTTGCATCTCGATAACAGAGAAAATTTACTCTTTTGTATTTTACGCATGTGTAGTCAGTTTAGCACTAATTATATAGCTCCAGGCAATGTCAGTGGTAGAATAAATGAAAAGTGACACTAGTTAACTCACTTTTTGCAAATTAATTTTACAGGATAAGTTACTTTACATAGAGACAAAAATCAATAGTGAAATATCTAACAAATATCTGACAACATTAAATCCTCTTTAAGATTAAGGATAATTTCTGACAGTCATCTTCAACAGATCATTGACACAGATCATGTTATTCACAATAGCAATTGACCTATTACCATTTAGAGCATTAAGTGTTCTATATTAATGCATATTATTATTAGTATTACCGTATATTGTATATCCTTTTCATTGATACCCAATATTCTTTTAAAACCAGTATTTACATGATTTTGTAGTTGTGGCTGGTGGTACATAGAGAGTAGAGTATGCTTACTCTTCCCAAGACTCCTGATACTGCTTCATTATTAGATATCATTATTCACTAGTAAAAGTGCAGTGTCCAATTTAGGCCGTCCACTACTATTATATTGATTTTTGTCAAGGTAATTTTTACTTCAATACGTTTACATTCATATTTCTTGTAACATAGAGCAGATCATGACTCATGGTGGCATTACACAATGGTTTCTCTGGGTTATATTCCTGATTATTTTTTAAATTTGAGTGAAGGCTGTATCACTACAGGCCCGACCGGGACTGTACAGCGTGCAGTGGACGCTTACGGCTAGCCCCTGGATCTATTCACTTAATTTGATATGTTCGTTTGTTTGTGATTTCTGCGTATTGTGTCTTGTCCGTAGATTTGTTTTTGTGTAAATTATGTGTAGTGCAGTCCCCCTGCACTAACTATTATTTGTACAGTATTTATATGACAGTTTAATAGAAGGTGACTTACATTTACTGTGGCTGCTCTAGGTGTACCATAAATTAAAGCTAATTCACCAAAACTTGCTCCTTCTCCTATTGTTGATACATGTTCACCATTTACATATATCTGTTGAACATAAATAAAATTATAATTGATAAACATGCATTATGTAAGAGCTAAATCTGCCTATTACAGGTCTTTTTGCGAATGCAAATGAAATGAAATGAAAGGAAATGAAATGGGGTTGAATGTCCTACTGTTCTTCTCCAAACAGGGCTAATGAAGATGGTGTGCTATGAGGGAAATTTTGCCCGGACAGCGGGCATGCCAACGTGCATGCCAATGTGTACATGGAACCTCAGTTTTTCGTACCATCCGAAAGAGAAGACAGCTGTCCTTGTCAGGATCTCGATTCTGCATCACTGACAAGGGGGAACCACGCCGGAAAATCCGGATGAACTTTCTCGGCCAATGCAGGGATCGAACACCGGACCTCTAGGCTAGCAAGCCAGCGTCTTACCCACTTAGCCACCGTGATCCCTTTTGTGGATGCATATAATTATATCAATTATGATTTTAGACATTTATTCACATGCCAAGCCTATGGGATGGCTAAGATATTGAGTGGATTAGACTATGTCTGTTTTATCTCTGCTAAATGTTAATATGGATGACACTCTTGTGACGATTGAAGGGCTTAAATTCTAGACGTCTGTTTTATCTCTGCTAAATGTTAATATGGATGACACTCTTGTCACGATTGAAGGACTAAAATTCTAGACTTCACTTATTATGTTGGCAATGGTAAGCCCATACCTACTTCACAATCGAATTGGGGCTACTTAGGTTATTTCTTGTCAAAACTTCAAACATTCATAACTTAGCTCAGAATAAAATAACTTGAATGAAATTTTCAATATATTCATTTTTCATTATCTATATTTAAACTATTATAGCAAGAACGAACAGCTGTTTATCTAAATCTTACATGACACATCTTTAAATAAACACCATAATTCTTATTCTCTAGTGACAAGATGACTTTAAACTTGCTTAGGAAGATTAATAAACAAACATTCAATGATTACATTTTAATGCAAGCTAACTAAAAACGATGTTCTAATTATTTTAAAATGATCTTTAAAACCCATTATCAAAAACAAAAGATAAAACAAAGAGTTAATCAATAAAATAGCATGCTAATGGTAAATCCATAACCCGGAAAAAACATGCCTCGGTCAAACTATTCATTATTGATAAGATGACATATTACATGCAAAATAATCATTATAAACTTACATCTACTTCTCCTTGATCAATCACATAAAAATTATCACCTTCATCACCTAAAAATAATAATTCACAATCAAAATAAAATACGCAAATTATTCTACTAGAAATGATGAAAAACACTCTTTAAACATACATTATGCAAGAGCTAAATCTGCCTATTTCAGGCCTGAAATGTTATCTAAACTATTAATTAGACATTAATTAACCTATCCAGGCCATAATCAACTCTAGATGGCAGTGCTAGCCTGCAATCTTTAGTGGATTGTAAGCCGATTTACTGCATAACTTTCCTTCTCGATTAAACGATTAAATGGTTAATCGAGACTATGCTCTTTATCGTACTGACTTTAGTAATAATGACCAAGGCTTATGGGAATTTCAGTCGCTTAGTTCTCGGTTCATCGTTGATCAATTTGAATGAAATTTTCACCAAATTGCCTTTCATTATCTAGTTTTTAACTATTATAGTGAGAACTGCCAACTCATTACTGAATCTCCCATAATGTATCTTTAATTAATATGTCAATGTTTTATCTATACTTGGCAAATGTCAACTATATGTGGTTTAGGAATACTTTCCTGGGTACCAGTATCTGATATGAATATAGCCAGTATTTAATTATATAATTTTTTAATATCATAATATATCAAGATGGGTAAGTCTTTGAAATGTCCAAAATGTGATATAACATATAGAGAGAGAGAAATGGGGTTTAACGTCCACTCGACACAAACTAGGTCATTTCGGGACTAACATATGGTTCAATTTTATTTCAAAAATTCACTTGCATGTAGGGATCTTTAGCAGTGGGAGGAAACCGGAGGATCCAGAGAAAATCCACGAGATTCGACAGATGACCCAACTACTCATATACAGTGCTGCCGACAACCAGTATCGCAGCGCAATTTGCGATACATATTTCGTCCGTTGCTAACCAAAAATTAAAATCTGACGTTTTTGATTCGCAGTTACTGCGAATCATTAATGTGCCTGTCATTTTGGATATTGTCACAAGAATAATCCACATTTTGAAGACTAGAAGGCTTACTCAACACTTTCAACGTGTATAAAATGTTGAATAAAATTTTATAAACAAAACTGAATTCTCCTTGTGACATTTTCTTCTCGAACTACCCAGACACAATACTATATAACACAGGGACATAACTCTATGAATACTATTAAACCGGAAAGAGGGAATCAAGTAGTCCCCCTCACGTTGCGAGACATCAAGTAATTATATCATATTCATTTTGAAATAAATAACTCCAGTGTTTCCCCAACGTATTGTAAATAAAATATAAAAAAATAAATACATGTTAACGTATTGTAAATCAAAAATCAAAGTAAAAATTCCCGTAAAATATTATTGTTTATATCGCGTGTGTCTAGTTAATCGAGGTGCGCCCGATTGAACAAAAATAGTAATACACGATGATAAAAAGCAGACGAGATTGTTTTCTAACGAAGATTTCTAACGTAACAAAAAAATAACAATTAAAATGAGTGGGGCTTCGGAAGTCACTGTCAAGAATTGGCTTCAGACATAAGACCTAACTAAATGTCTACATCACATTTACAAACTGTCACAAGTACTTGTGGCAGTGCTAAAAAAATCTAAGAATAGTCAGAATGGAATCTAATCATATTTGTTATGAATTAAAGTAATATCTTGTTATTTAGGTGTTTTACATTGAAACTGAAAAAATGCTAATCAATTTTTAAATTTGCTAATCAAATTTGGCAAAATTGTACTTTTCGATTAGCAGTGCTGCTAATCAACTGTGAAAAATTACCGACAGCCCTGCTCATATACAACCAGGGTTATAAGATATAAACTCATTAAATACCTTGCTGTATAATAACTTCTCCAGCATGTCTATGGACAGGGAACATGGCATCAAATATATCACTGTTGGGAGAGAAAAATATACATTAAAGCAAACTACGTGATTCTACTTATTCCACAGGATTTTTATGACAAAGAAAATCAATATCTAAATATTCTTAAGTGAAAATATCACTGCAATTTAAGTTTCTGTTAATATAGATGGGTCTATTGCCTACTCAACAGCACTGCCACATTCTATATGCTTCACGTTCTGGTAATGATCGACTGATTCTCTGCAAACTGTCAACAGAGGATTGAATCTAAAGAAAGACATTAGATTCATCTAGGGCAATTTATACACACTAAAACATTTTTTTTTCCATCATCCCCAGAACATGTATGGTATAACTTGCAGGGTTTTATAGAAGTGGGAGGAACTCAGAGTAAGTAAAGAAAATACATAATGACAGGCACGTAATCCTACTGTTTGTCACATGTAACCACAAGTGGGCGATTGAACCCTTTGCACTTGCATACATAACATCAAGCATGATTTTCCAGACCTATATAAGTTAAAATTTACAGTACAGACTTGCCTGCCATCACTCTTTTTATTAGTCATTTGTAAGTAAATAAAATCAAAACTAGTTGTATTTTAATAACTCTGTTCCTACCTCCTTTCATTATCATCTAAATGAGCAAATAAAACATTCTTAGATATAGCCTTGGATAGAGCTGCCATTGTCTTATAATCTTTAGGCACAACCTACAAATCAAATAATGTACATGTATATGATTTTCTAACATAACAATCCTACAGTCTCAATTTTGAAATTTAAGAATAATGCTTGATGAACCAATTCTTCTAATATGTGACTGTCCGCATCTAAATGAGTCGGAATGCGGGAGAATCAATAATGAGATAAAGACAAAATAAGTAAAAATATTGATTTTGAACGAAATTGAGATTTTCACAAAAATGAGTCTTTAAATATACTATCTATCGACACAGAAGATCAAAATAGCAATAAAACATTTTAAAACACCTGTATTTGAACGTTTTGTAAGAGTACCGTATTCTTAAATCTGTCCTATTTCTCAAAATTCTCGTCGAAATTAGTTATTTTTCTTCGTTCGCAGTGGGACAACCGGTCATACCTCTTGCATAACAATTGGCATCGTTGTAAAGCGGAGCATCTCTAGTTTAAAAATATGATCAAAATATTGTCGATGAATTGATTTTGAACGGATACAATCAAGTATTAAAACCCTCCAAAAATATAAATAAACTCCGCCTGTTGCCATGCTGTCCACACAACTCGTTTGCTGATTGGCCCGGACACCGCGTGCAAGACATTATCGATAAATATTTGGTTTTGTCAATGTTTTTGCGTACCTACATGCGATTCACTCTGATAAGTGGCAGAAAAAAAAATTAATTCTGATTGTATAGATTGCCGTTGAGTGTTAATCGAAACCACGTGGCTGATGATGTAAATTAATCGACAAGCGGGGGGGGTGTCATTGAGTAATACTATTACTAATCAACTGTCATGGGTCAATGATAAAGCCGTCTACAACTCATTATTTACTCAGAATAATTAATCCAAGTGGTGATTGTTTGATATCTCATATCATCTTTACAAAAATATTCTATAGGCCTTAAATGGAAATAAACAAAATGGCCAATAATGTTCTTTTCGGAGAATGCATTTGGGATATTATTGTTTAAAATTCTCTGATCACAATGGGTCGAAAAAATGAGAACGACCAACGAGCCGAAATGCGACGATTCTCGAGTCTGCCATTGAGTATCCTCTGAATAATGTTGATATTTACATCAAAGCCAAAATGCACGAAAGTGAACGTAAGCATTGACTATGGAATTGACATTTCTATAGGGACTCATATTTTGATAACGTCACGGTACCTGAAAATAATAATAGACCTATCGTACACGCAAAATCTTATTTTAATTCACGTGTTAAATGAACACGCGTACAGCTGTTGCGGCTTCTTTGATGATTATCCAATCAACAATCTTAATCTCCCGACCACTAGCTGGCACTAAGGTGCTAATTAAATGATGAGTCAACTGAGTTAATCTCACTAAAGTTATATTATACACAACATACTACTAATGTATAGATTGTTCTTCAGTATAACAATATCATGTGAATATTATGCCGTATGTGTTGTGGATGTTTCGTTACGAAAGGAGTGCATTTATTACGATTTTCGTCTTCAACACCCTTGAAATCCTAAATAAAAAAACATATCAAACGACAAAGAATAGCCCCATGGTATAAGCTTATTGCAAATCTGTTGAGTTGGAAGAGCTTGACCGTTGCCTGTCAAAATAACTGGTCTAGTAATGTACATGTATATGATTTTCTAACATAACAATCACACAGACTCAATTCTGAAATTTAAGAATAATTCTTGATGAACCAATTCTTCTAATATGGCTCAAAACATAATGTCACATTGTTATATATACAGTCGACAAAGTGTGTTATATAAGCAATATTCACAGCACCGTGGTATAAGCTTATTACAAATCTGTCAACTTGGAAGAGCTAGACGATTGCCTGTCAAAATAACTGGTGGTAGTAATAGAAGCATGTTTTTATATCAATGTGATAAATATGGTTAAAGGTTCAGACTCAGAGAGAGAGAGAGAGCGAGAGAGAGAGAGAGCGATGGGGTTTAACGTCCACTTGACACAAGCTAGGTTATTTCGGGACTAACATATGGTTCAATTTTATTTCCATAAATTGCATGCACAGAGAAAACCTACAAGGTTGGACAGGCGAACCTACTCCTTGTCACGTACAACCAGGGGAATCGAAACCATGCCAGTTGACTCAATGACAGACCTTATGATACAACGCACACAAGCTAACCATTTGGCCATCCAACCCCCCTTTAAATGTGCAGATATTATTACAAAAACTGGTTAACTCTTTGTGAAAGATGCTTTAGAAACTTTTATTCTAATATTCAATTTCTGAAACGCTGTATCGATATACTTTGGCTATATCAATATTTTTCTACTTTTATTTCATATTCAAATGTTAGCTAGACTGTTTATAAAGGCTTCATAGACAGTCATATTATTGAGGCTTTGCAGTAAACAATAAGTCTGCAAATACAAGACCAAGGTTGTAAAAACAAGTCACATAATCAGTCATATTACAGGTTTCACAGTAAACAATAAGTGTCAAAGACCAAAGTTGTAAAAACAATAAAGCTATTCAAAATGAAACTGTGACTTTATCAAAGTATTGCAATACTACAATATATTGCGATACTTTTTGTCAAGTATGGCAATATATTGCAATACAATTTTTGGGCGCAATATACAGCCCTAGCTTTCAAGAATTACAAATTTTCATTGGCCACAAATCTATAAATTCCACACCATATAATGGACGCATAACCCTGTCGTGAATTTCATGATTCCTTAATGACAGTGGAAGTTTTTAAAAACTCTGTGACTGTTAATTAGGGTATATAAGGAAGCACCTGCTGCGATAACTTCTTGGTCATATTTCTAAGTGTGTAACAAGATAAAAAGCAATTTTTTAAAACTTGATGAATCTATACGGTGGGACCTAAGGAGAAACTCTAGATATTGAAATTCTTAAATATTGATCATAAATTTCTAACGTAAATCAATGAAGTCTAGTCACATGGTCATTAAGCTCTTTTCCAGACAGTGATCAACGAGTTATTGAAATGATTAGTAGTTACAGCCTATGACAACAATTAACTGTATTTTTTGCCAGCTGCTGCTACCGGTATTTGCATTTTGTTTTTCTACCTGAGCACAGCTGTTTAAGATGCTGGTTATATAGTGGCATCATATTGCTCAAAGTTATAGTGTAATCTGAGCCCAGCATTATAATTGCCATCTTTGTTAATAACAACAACAATATGATCAATCACCTGATAAAATATAACAATGTCAATGATTGATAGCACTCAGTTTGACTTTTAAAATTTGTTAAGTTAAGCCACAACTTTCTGTCACACACGATATATTTAAATTATCCATATTGATCGGTAACAGCTTAGAGATGTTGACTGTCCCAGTAATATAATAATCAATACCTTTTTGACATACTGGGCTGCATCTTCTTCTTTATATACTTCTGCACTGACGGCCCCTCGTCTTGGACGAGCTTTCATTGGCGGATGAGGTGGTGTTATCGATATATCATCTTCTCTTTCATCACTAGGTGGTGTAGCAGATTTATGTTTTTCTTTTACTTGATCCTGGAATATACAATATAATACAACCATTAATTAATATAGATATAATACAACCATTAATTAATATACAATATACAACCATTAATTAATATAGGGAGGGGGGTTTCCCCAATCCCATTCAGACAACCTGAATAAAAAATATTGTTAAAAAAAATAAATTAATATACAATGTAATACAACCATTAATTAATATAGATATATACTGACTCTTTAAAAAATATGTCTGTACATTTAGTCCCCAAGACACATACCCACATACTCCTGAAATCTAATCCGGATTTATTCTCAGGCTAACTTTCAAGATACTGAAAACAATAGCTTGTCAATGATAGTTTTAGAAAAAAGGAGAAACAAAACTCTGGTAAAAGAATAATAAAATGTATATTGTTCAGACTCTGGAAGGAGTTGTGGTCGTGTTTCCAAGGAACAGATTACAGTTTTAGATTACAATGGTGGACAATTTATGGTAATGATAAACATGAAATATGATAATGCCAATAGATACCTTGTTATTGAGAAACTATATATACATTAACAATATGTAGTATCGTAGATTGTTAGTGATTCATTAGAAATCTTGATATACTGAAGACCTAGGTTGTTGGGGGTTTTTTCACATCATAAAAATTCTAAAATCCTGTTAAAGATTTGTTTTCTATTTGATTCAGCATTAAAGTTACAATTTCATATTTTTAAGTTATATTTTTAAAATATATTAAAATAAAGTCCTAAAATAGATGGTATCTATAAACAGTCCATTGTGTTATTATTTCCGGTGTAAGGATTTTTTAAGTGTGAGAAAGATAACCTATGATCGCATAATAGTGAGTTGACAACCTATTGAGCAAAAGACATAGAAATAATTAAGTTATGACTTTCTTAGAAAATATGAAATTGTAACTTTAAACTAAAGACATATTCCTTTCACAATCTGAACTGCTATTATGTTACAATCTATTGGTGTATATATTTAAATCACAAAGAATACAAGTGGACCTTTAGTTTAAATATCTTTATAAAAATAGCAACACATGCACTGTGTCAAGCTGATCTGAAAACAGCAGGATCATTCAAAGAACAATTCTCCCACATTTTGCTGAAACTGTAGATGACAGAACAATGGAAATGCGGACAAGATGGAACGACAATCTGCAAGTCGATATAAACTGAATTCTCAAGAATCATGACCATCATAAAAACATTTTGAAAAATATTTGTTTAATCCCTTGATCTTTAAGAAAAAGTCCAACTAGTCAACAAAAAAAGTGATAAGCACTGAAAAACTAAAACAAAATCTTGTTTCACCAATTAACGAATGCATATATTTCAGGTTTCTTCATTTCACTCATCTACACAATGTATATAATATTTAAAATTTCATACAGATTGGACGATAATTTTGGTCGTTATATAGTTCAAAGGATTCTGTAAAGTAAAGTTAAACATGGGCCATAAATAGAAGTAATAAACTGAAGTTGTGGAATTCGATAAGCTTCTGTGTTTCATTAAACTGACTAATGCATTTAAATTTCAACCAGATCAGATGAAAACTATTGCTTTTACAAGAGTCTACAAATTGATATTGTCATTATTTTTAGAAATCAATGAAATCCAATCATTTGTATCACTAATATAAACAAAATATAAATTCTAAAATATGTTTGCACACAGAATTATGGTCAACATCCAGACAGAAATGGATGATGTGCGATAACAATAAGACAACATTTCAATGTGGGCATATAAAAAGATGTAATAATATAATAACTATGGACTGTAGACTGTTGACAGGTTTCTGTGTCTCAATGTAAATGTCAAAAATATAGAATGATAAATAAAGAATTGTTTAAGATCAGACTGACACAACATGTACCACATATATACACACATGGAAATCAGCTGTATAAAGATATGATGCCACAGCAACTAATAGAATCTACAAAAGCTGTCACATTCCTATTTTTTTTATAGGTAATAGGAGCATGTATACATTACTAAAAACTGACCATTAACCCATTAAGTAGTTATCCGAAATAATCATTCCTAGTGTTAACATTAACAAACCATTTACTAGTAATCAGACGATTACTTTAGCTGTTTTGAGTTATTGGAAATTGTTGAAAATCAATAGGATTCTTCATTTCATGTGGGGGGGGGGGGAGGTGTATGGCGGAATGGTTCGTGCGTGCGCACTGTATCGTCTGCCATTGAGTCAACTGGCGTGGTTTTGATTCCCCAGTTGTGCGTGACAAGCGAGTAGGGTACCTGTTCAACCTCCTGGGGTTCCTCCCACTGCTAAAGACCCTACACGCATGCGAATTATTGAAATAAAATTGAACCATTTGTTAGTCCAGAAATGACAGAGTTTGTGTCAAGCGGACGTTAAACCCCATTTCTCTCACTCTCGTTTTATGAACATAAAACTGTGTCTAAATTTTGTATCGATCACGTGATAGATGAGTGTGTTGACCACGTACCACCATATTTCAAAACTTTTAAGTGACACCCTCAATTTGGCAAAAGGTGCCAATGATTTTCTTTTTTTTTTAAAATATTTTTAACTATACATAAAATACTTATGATATGTAAATAGAATTTAAATCAGATATGTTCGTTCATAGATTGTGAACAAAAATTGTCTATCTAACAGTAAATGACCAAGATGTACGTTATTTTATCGAATCTTGTGAAAGCAGATCAAATGATACTACTTTAATTTCAGAAACCCATTCCTAACTAAATTTAAATGTCAATTACATCTAGGTCTTCCAGTAAAAAAAAAATCTTAAAATAAAACAGACTTAAGATTCCCAAATAGAATTATTCTATGACTACAAACTGTAATTCCTTATTGTAATGTTTTCATGTTGCATTATTTATGTTGCATTATTCAAAGAATTAAGAAGATAAGTCCTTAGTTAATTCTCAGTATTTCAATCTACTTCTATTCTCTCTGGTCATTAATTAGTAATCATTTTGATATATAGTTCTATAGATGGTTATAATTATAAAAATAGACAATAATAACAATCACCATGGAAACTAAAATTATTTGTTGGAAGGTAGCCGCAGTGGCTCAGTTAGTAAGACATAAGCTCGCTAACCTGGAGGTCCTGTGTTTGATCCTTGTCTTGGCCAAGAAAGTTCATCAGTGTTTTTCAGGTGTGGTTCCCCCTTGTCAGTGGTGTTGGAGTGAGGGCCTGACAAGGACGTTAAACCTCATTTCATTTATTTATTGGCAAGATCATTTGATACACTAATATCAAATATCAGACTATTTCTATTAGTTTTACTTAGTTATGTAACTTTAATTTTATCCAATAGTTAGTCATTTGTGTGAACTTTTATCTGTACCAGGTTACACCTTGTTAATGGTAAAATTCATATTTCACACAACTCTTGATAATGAAGGCTGAAGATTACTGGCTGTAAATTGAGTCTAATTATACTACCTATAAATGTTGAATAGGTCTGATATAGGCTATTCATCAATAATCAATACTGCTAGTAAAAATTTAAAGTAAGCAAATCCCCAGAGAATAAAATAGATACAATTTTCTTCCAGGTCAATGGCTAATTACTAGAATAAAATATAATCAAAGCTTGTTTTTTTGGGTTTTTTAATTTCAGGAATTGTTTTATTCATACAAGTAATAATTTCTACCTGAGATTACAAATAAATCACTAGATAAAACATCTTTGATATTATAAGGCTCACACTGATATGGCAGCTGTGTTTAACACATATAATTTGATTTGGTCCATAAACTGTCAAAAAAATAAATTCTCAAGGGCATTTCCACCATTAAAATGGTGGAAATATGTCCACACAGCAATTATGTCTCTTTCATCCGAAAGGACAACTTAATTGGATGTTGACCAAATTTGACAAGCATCCCAAAGTTTCACACATTATTTGAATACCAATGGGGTTCATCCTCTCACAGTCCTAACCATGATTCACACAATTCTTAAAATCTACAGCCATTAAAATATAGTACAAAGAAACATGGTATTGAATATAATTCTTGATTGGCATTTAGCACAATAAAAACACAACACAATTTCACACAATCACTATTTATGGAATAACAATTACTGGTTTATTAACATGCAATGTTTCGACGATGGTACTTTCATTTTTATCAAGTGGCATTTGCTTGATAAAAACGAAATGATATGAAATGGGGTTTAACGTCCTACTGTTCTGCTCCTATACTAGGCTAATGAAGACGGGCATACGCCATACAGTGTGCTATGAGGGAAATTTTGCCAGGGCAGCGGCACTATCGCCTAGTCTTGTATCAAATTCCAACTGCCAGGGGATCTTTTACGTGCATTCCAATATATACACAGGACCTCAGTTTTTCGTCTCATCCAAAGGACTAGAGTCCTTGTCAGGCCCTCCGTCCTGCAACACTTACAAGGGGGAACCACGCCGGAAAATCTGGATGAACTTTCTCGGCCAATGCAGGGATCGAACACCCGACCTCCAGGCTAGCGAGCCAGTGTCTTACCCACTTAGCCACGTGATCCCCTTGATAAAGACAGTACCATCGTGGAAACATTGCATGTTAATAAACCAGTAATTGTTATTCCATAAATAGTGATTGTGTTACTGTTCAATTACTAAATGCCACTTAAAGAAGTTACAACACAATTTATATGGAATACAATAAATGGTTGTTTTGATGAATGTTCTCTTGTGTTCTCGAGCACGATTGATGTTTTTTTAAACTGCCTCATCTCCATATCTTCATCATGCTATAAGTGAAACAACCAGTGCTTGTATTCTATCCATATAAATTGTGTTGTGTTTTTTTATAGTATTTGATGTTTTCTGTCCTTATTCAGATCAAAGACTTTTCTCCAATATGAATGTGTTTAAGGCCCAGTGTCTGGAAAATTGAGGCAAAATTTTCCAACTATATGGTGGGAGAACGCTAGATCAGAGACAATCTAGCACATATATGTCATATGTGGAATGTGGGTTTTGATTAGGG